CAAGGCCTACGGAGAAAAACAATAACCAGCATATCTAAGTACTGCTTCATGCAGCACCATTCTAAGTGCTTACCAAGTATGGGGTCACTTTATTTTCACTAACCGTAATGGAGATTTCTTCCCACTTAAAGCAAGAAAACTAGTCCATAGAAGTTAAGTACTTACACAAAGCATTAATTGAAATCAAACACACCATTAACAATAGACATCCATTATTTTTAAGAAGCAACAGAAAATGCTTCAATTTCATTGTAAGGTGCCATCAGGTGATAGATACAACTTGACTTCAGTAATGTTAAATGTGAAAAAAAGTGCATCTACGAATGATTGAAATATGACAAGTGAGTGAGACATGTTGCAAACCCAGGCAATTTGGATTCAAGTCATTAACATCTTCATTATGCACAAACTTGCAAAATGCTTTATCACAAATTCATGGTCTCATGCTTTGACCTTTTAGTACATTTCTCTTCTCTCTCTCTTTTTCTCTCTCTTTCTCTCTCTGTCTCTGTCTCTCTCCCTTCTCCTTATCTCTCCTTTCTTTTCTTCAATCATGGTTCCAAACATTTTCTACTCTCCTTAAGATGCCTACTTAGCACCTCCCCTCATTCACTTTTTTGGATGGCTATCATTAAGAAAATTAAGATTATCTTCTTAAGATTACTTCATCAAGAAAATGGAGTCTATGGGTCACCACCTCTTTCAATTCCTATTGCCCTAGTCATGCTATTACCTACAGACATACCATTCTTCACAGATAACCCCTCTTCGTCCTTGTTTCAGAGGAAGTTATCCTTCCTTCTTTTAAATGCTGGCTCCTTCTTATTCTTATATCTCTATTGCAATTCTTATTTTCTCTGAGTCTCCTGAATTTAGACTCCTCCCTCTCTGTTGTATTTGCTCCTTCAGTCTGTAAACATGACCAAGAACCAATCTCTAACATACGGTTCCTATCTTTCTCCCTCTTTTTATATAAATCTAGCAGAGTGTTCCACAGCTTCATTTTCTCTTTCCATTTCTCCCTCAATCTACCTCTACCTCTCCCCCAACCCTCAATTGGAAGTCCTCTTAATAAGCTCCTTGGTGACCTCCTATTTTTAAAAGATCCAATGGAAAAATCATTGTCTTCATTTTATTGACTCCCTTTACTGTACCTGTGTGATGTTCTTCTCTCTGTGAAAATCTCCATCTCATTGACTTTCAAGGCACTACCCTCTCCTGGGTCTGCTTAACTCTTTCTTTCTTTCTTTCTTTCTTTCTTTCTTTCTTTCTTTCTTTCTTTCTTTCTTTCTTTCTTTCTTTCTTTCTTTCTTTCTTTCTTTCTTTCTTTCTTTCTTTCTTTCTTTCTTTCTTTCTTTCTTTCTTTCTTTCTTTCTTTCTTTCTTTCTTTCTTTCTTTTTTATTTATACAAGCACTGGGTACAGTCAGAAGCGCGGAAGGGTGAGAGAATTCACCAGAGCCAGAGCGGGGAGCAGAGCAGGCAGAAGGACCGAAGTACACTGCTGAGGGGAGCAGCGGGCGGCAGGAGAGGTCTGCGCGCCATGTGGGACCCTCCTCCCGTGGCCCGGGAGCAGCAGGGGATCGAACCGGCACTGCAGAATCTGCAGGCAGCTTCGCAACCCAGCGCTCAACCTCTGCGCCACCGGGGAGGCCCTTAACTGTTTCTTAATCACTTAAATGTTGGCATTTCCCAGGTTCTATCCTCAAGTTACTATTGTACCCACTTACTGTGAGGGTTTTAATTATTCTCTGCAAGCTGGCAATATCTCAAGTCTAGATTTCTTTTCAACTTTGTATCCCAAGTGTTACTTTAGTTACCACCTCTTCTTGCCTATTAAATATCTGCATTAGGATGGTGGTCATCTCAAATGTATCCTCTTGAAAAGAAAATTCATCATTTTTTTCTGAAATATTTCCTCAAACCGTTTTCGTCTTCTCTTAGCTGATGGTAAGCTATACTTCCAGTTGCTTAGCTCCCCAAACTAAAGGTCATGTTTCTCTTTTTCCTTGTACTCTGCATCCAATTCATCAATAAGTTCAGCTCTTCTCCATGAAAATATATTTAGAATCTGATCATCTTTACTGACTCCACTGCCGCCACCTTTATTTCATCATCATATGTCATCTGGATTACTGCAGCAGCGCCTAACTGGACGCCCTGCATTTGCTCTAACTCTCCTCTAATCTGTCCTATACTGACCAGTTAGAATGGATGTCGGACCACCTCTCTGACCTTATTTCCAACTACTATACCGAGAAAACACTCTCCTCACATCACACCATTCAATGCTCCACAAACCCCACCTGGAGCATCCTTCCACTGTATGTTTATGACTCATTCTTTCACTGATAGATCTGTACTCAAATATCTCCTGACCAGGAAGGACTTCTCAGTAGTCTATATAAAAGAGATCTTCTTGATCAACTTCCTTTTTAAACCCTGCTTTATTTTTTCTTAATGATCCTTTGTTTTTTCTGATCACACACAAAACATTACACATATATTTTGTATTGGGCTCTGGAATGATAAGCTGTCATTATTGCCTTGTGGTGGCACAATGCCTCCTGACACTACTTGTTTATTTTTTTTTAGGAATTTTTTTTAAGATTTATTTATTCATGCATACAAGAACCGGGTACAAGCCAGAGGTGCAGGAGGGATGAGAGGATTCACCAGAGACAGAGTGAGGAGCAGAACAGGCAGATCTACTGAAATACACTGCTGAGGGGAGCAGCGGGTGAGACAGGAGAGATCTGCCGTGCCATGTGGGTTGCTCCTTGGCCAGCAGGGAATCGAACCCGCACTGCAGAGGCTGCAGACAGCTTCACAGCTCTGGGCTCAATTGTCTGCGCCACCAGCGGTGACCCACTGCTAGTTTATTTAATCACCTCATTATACGTTTGTTTTTTATACATAACTGTAAACTCCCTCTTCAAGAAACTAGGAAGGAATCATTATACACCTATATAATTTTAAAATTTAAAGATAAATTTTTCCCCTCTCTCCCCATCCCTGACCCACTAGAATGTAAGCTCCATGAACATAGGGACTTTGTTTTGTTTCTTTTGTTCCTTCTATATATACAGCATCTAGAACAGTGCTTGACACAGACACTCAAAAATAAAGTAAGCACTGCATTTTTATATAGCAAGGTTTTCAAAGGTAATATAATTATCAACAAGTCCAAAACCAGAATTAAATCCCCACATCTCTCTCTTTTCTTCCTTCTCTCTCTACAGTCTTTTCCTTGACTTTGCTCCCAAATATAGAACTGCTTTGAGTGCTGCCTCATATCTTACTTGTGCTGACTTTTCTTAAAAAAAAAAAAAAGATTTATTTATTTATACATACAAAAGCTGGGGTTTAATCAGAGGTGGGGGGAGAAGAGGGGGGTTAGAGGATTCACCCAAGAGCATGGGGAGCAGAACAGGCAGATCTACTAAAATACACTGCTGAGGGGAGCCGCAGGCAAGACAGGAGAGGTCTGCTGTGCCATGTGGGTAGCTCCCTGGCTGGCCCAGGATCAAACTCATGCTGCAGTGATTGGCAATAGCTTGATAGCGCTATCTTTAACCCCTGCACCACCAGGGAGGCCCTGCCTTTTCTTTTTTGACTGTAAGAAACGACTCCCTCCACTTTGCCCCCGGGCCACCTTTATATGTTTTTCTTCAAGTTCACCAGGTACCTCCTCTTAAATGCATTTTCTGCCCCCTTCCATCCCTTTCCCCTTGTCCAGTTTCTCCCCTGCCAGTCTCTCTCCCTTCTCTCACACACTGATAAAATGATTTTTCACTAAAGACTCTCTCAAGAGACTGAGAGCTGTACCTATGACCTTTCTCCATGTCATTAGGGGGTAATTAGGAACAAGTATTAGTATGCCCAGTTCCATGGGATTAAGATTGATTGATAATGAGCAAATCAAGTGCACTATCCAGTTTCAGAAGAGGAGGAAAATCCCAGAGTCCCAGAGTCCCTCAGTAATTCACTCGAGAGCGATTTTTTCTTATCACTTGGGTAGGGGGCAAGTTCTCAGTGTTTGTGGTAAACCTTGCTGGCTGACTGGGTTCCTCCCTGTGCCCCTATGGAAGGTAACCATGGATACTATTGAGCTAGTATAAAAGCTTTTAGTTAATGGAGAATACAAGTGGTTTTCAGGATGTTTACAGGGTTTTGAGGTGACGGGTAAAACCTGGAAACATTCTGCAAATTTGTAGGACTTTTGCCTCAGGTGCCTGGGCTGTGTGAGTTTCAGTTAAAATGGGAGCTAATTCTGTCAGAGGCAGGTGGGGAGTCAGGGTTTTTGCCCTTGTCTGGCATATTGAGTAGTTGTAAGCCTATAATCGAAGGGAATCCAGGTGCTTCCTCTTCTTGGAAGGCAGGGACGAGCCTGTGAATTCAGGAGTGGTGAACTGGCTCAAGCGATGCCAATAACTCCACTTCCTGAGGTGACCCGGACCACGGAGCCTAGAGATAAAGGGATTTTCTGTCCCCAGACAGATTTCAGCAGCAGAAAGTTCCTACCCACATCCTTGCCGCCCAGTGTTTCCTGCCTTCCAGACCAGGCAGGCAGAGGCAATTCTAGGATGTCTCAGGAAGTCACCTTATTACCTCAGAACCCACACCGCCTGTGGGAGGACAACCGTCTTCCTCCTGCGACCCTAAGTGTCACGGATAGTCCCTCAGGCGTCTTTACTCTCAAGGGAGCACACCTGGAGTGTGGGTGCCATTTGGGTCCCAACTTTTCAGGTCCTGCCCAGAGGGTCACACTTGCCCAACTAGAACTTGGGAGCCAGTCCTCACAAAGGCTGCAATGCGTGGGTGTGAGCCAGGCTCCATGAGGCTGAGTGTGGCTTGTTTCCTGAAGAGAAATCTCCAGGAGGAGGGAGAGGGGCTGAGGAAGATGGACTTGAGGGCGAGAGGTGGCGGCAATTTCCTGGAGCTTTGACGTAGCCTGGAAGAGGCGCCGAGCACTCCCACGGCTGAAGTGCAGCCACCGGAGCCTACAGGACGCCGGAGCGGCGACCCGCACTTGCTCAAGAGCCGACCGAGTGTTTCCTCTCCACGCACTCGAGGGAATTCAGAAAGGACCGAGCAGGTAAGTGCCCCGGGGGCGGCTTGCAAGGTCCTGGGGGTGCAGCAGCAGAGTAAAGAGGCTCGAGGGGCACAAAGGACGTAGCGGGGTTTTGGCAGCTCTGCCAGGGGAGGGTGAGGCGAAGCTGTGGAAAAAGGATCCGGTCCAAGTGGAGTCTAGCATGCCTGGGAGCCGGCAGCGGGGTGCGTAGAGCACACCAGGGTTGAGGAACTTCCAGGCTCGGAGAGGACTCCCAGGAGAGGGGAGCCTAAGGCGCTCCCCGGGGGAGCGCACAGGGGCGCCGGTCACGCTAACTTCAGCACGGTGGACAGCCCCGGGGGCTTGCTCCTCAACTTAGTTAAGGTGAGACCATCTTTGGGGTCCCTCGAATTTGATATCTTAGTTCAAACGAGAGTATATTGAACATAGTTTTGTTCAGATGGAGATCAGGTATAAATGATCTGAAATGTAGAGGATATATTTTTGAAAAACCTAGTATCTCAACATACTTCTTCACTACAGAAACATACATGTTCACAGGCAGTTTCTGAAGTACTAATTTAAAGTTGCCTCAATCCTGCATTGCAGAAATAAAAATCCGATCTCATGGTATTATGCTGATCTGCTACTATAAAGACATTTGGTTTGCTTGTCTTCATGTTACTAATACCTAAACTGTTTGGGAATATAAGATAAAACTGGAGAGAACTGTGTATGTCCCATTTTTTTCCTTTGTGTTAGCATTGTTTGAGTGTGATATATATTTTGCACAGTCTGTGAGGAATCAAATAAGTTTTTTTCTGAAAAAAAAAATTGGGGTTATTATTTTAAGGACATCATTTCTTATTGCACTAGCTCGAAGTGTAACATAAAAGTAATTCATGTGGATGCCTTGATTTTATTGCAATAATCTTTGAGTCAAAAAATATGAATGACAGGCAAATACTTTTTTTTAAAGTATTGATATTTGTATTGATACTTGTAGCAAAAAAAAGACAAGTGATAAATATGAGCTTTATGAAAATTATACCAGAATTGCAAAAACACTTTAGGTGTTTGTAAAATGTCTACTGATTCTACTCTAAAGGGTTGTGTTTATTTTTATTTATAACATTAACAATTTTTATGCCTCTTAAAAAAGTAAAACTCACTATGATTAGGAAAGCACTTAAGGGCAAAATACATCAAAATTCTTAATTGCATGGGAGTCCTGGATTAGGATAACTGAGGCTGGGCTTAATTAAGATACTGTAAAGTAATTTAAAGATTTTAAATTTCCACTTAATACTCTTTTAAGCTATTTTCTTCTGTACTAGGGAGAAAAAGTTCACTTATTCATTTTTACAAAGGAACACATTTTAGGAATAAATATTTCTTAATCTAAGTATCTTGATTTTATATTACTTGACTTGCAGTAAATCACTTTAACTAGAGTGGGGCTTGTGATGTGAGAGGTATGATAAGACTTTTCCTACTTTAGAATATGGTGTTTCCTTTGCTGGTACCAAGGTTTTTTAAAGAACGGTTCTTTTCTTTATGGAGTAGAGCACAAATAGGACTTATATGAGGTTTTTCTATCCTGTGCAGTTTCAGGACCATGGCCAATCTTGGCAACAGAAGAGGGATCTACCACCCCTTGAGCTTCACCTGCTCCCTGATCATTATGGGACTGTGCTGTGTGTCTCCTTTCTTCTGTCACAGCCAGACAGATCTGTTGGCTCTGAACCAAGCTGATCCTCAGTGCTGGGAATCTTCTTCAGTGCTTCTCCTGGAAATGAGGAAGCCTCGAATTTCTAACACTGTTTCAGGTTTCTGGGATTTTATGATCTACCTGAAGTCATCTGAGAACTTGAAGCATGGGGCACTGTTTTGGGATCTGGCTCAGCTCTTCTGGGACATCTATGTGGACTGCATCCTTTCCAGGAACCATGGCTTAGGAAGGAGGCAATTGGCTGTAGAGGAAGGAGCGATCTCAACAGTGCATCCTCAACACAAAGGGATAAAACAAGGTGGTCAGCCCCAGGGCCCACATCTTTGAAAGGGCCAACCAAGTATGAATGTGCTGAATTGTGAGGAAGAGGACAAGGGCTTTAGAGGGGACTTCACTGGCACATATCTTCCTCTCAGGGGTGAACCACAAGAGTACACAAAAATAGGAAACCAGATAGTACTTCCTTTTGCATTTCATAGTAACTGTTAATGTCAACAGAATATCAGTGAGGAAGAGTCAGAAAGACATGTAAGAAAAAGTATTCCCAAAATACAAAAGGGATGCCCCTAAATTAACAATTTTACCATTGGTTTAGACATTGGCAATTATAATGTTTTCTTGCTGTCTAATTGGGAAGATTTGAATATATATCTCAGGGATATTCACAACACACAGCTTTTGCTTTTATTTTTAATGCCTTCATCTAACTGGGGGCAAAGAGGAAGATGTTCTTATTTGATGAAGAAAAGTGTAGGAAAATTGACTGGCAGACATACTAACTCATTGTTGCTTTTTGAGCAAATTTCAAACAAGTAATTAACTTCCAAAAAGTCAAGTGATTAATTTCAACCAATGGAGAGATCTCACAGAAATAAAATTTATATCCAAATACAGTCTTCTCCAGGGAAACTAGAAGGAATATTCTTTAGAGAATTAGAATGAGGTTGAATGAGCCTCTGTGAGTAAGCTGAGCGATGTCTTCAGCTTATTTATGTTGCTATTGTTTCCTTCTTGGTGTTTTTTCAACCAATGAGCTTCCAGCAGTTGCAGCAAAGGCTATTTGGGTGGCAGTAATTCTTAGAATTATTTATGCACTAGTGGAAAACTGAGACATAACTAATTTTAGGATTTGTATTCCTGCAATTTCTCTATTATAATAGCAATTAACAGTAATAGTTCTAGCTCAACCCTTTCCCAAGATATTATAAAGCGTTTATATATTTAGTTTTGACCTCAGTTGCTAAAAATTCTTATGATTTACTGATCCATAATACTAGGTAATCCATTGCTATTATTTATAGATAAATCTATTATTTTGGCAAGTGTTATTGTAACTTAAACCAATTTCCCTTTTAAGAGGAAATATTTTCTCAGCATCTTAGCTTCTAAGGAGGAATACAAAATTAGTGTCTTTTAATGCTGGCTACCAATATTTTAAAAATAGTTTGACGAGAGGCTGCCCAGATATCAGCATCAGTAAGGGCTGTTGAAAGTGGGTTATAAGGCTCCTTCTTCTGTTCTTACTATATTTAGCTGTTGTATTCAAATCCCTACCAATGTTTCCTGTTTTGTATTTTGTACTCACTTTGAATTATTCAAAAGTCTACAAAATAATTTAAAGGGATATTACATTATTTGTGTTCAGTTAAACATGACAATAATTTATTAAATATATATTACATAATCATGTATGTATATGTACATATAGTTTTGGGGGTTTTTTTGTTTTGTTTTGTTTTTTTTTTTACTAAAACAGCTTTCAGCTTGATTGCTTTCAACAAGACTATTAGAATGGTCTGGTTACATGTAGTTTTTTGGCCATAATGTAACTTGGCATTTCTACCTTCTTGTAGAAAAAGCAGTAGATTTGTCTTCAGCATTGGAAGCCACTTTCTTCATCTTACTGCAGAGCTGCTACTGACTCATCTGGTGTGCAAACTTTACCTGGAGTTGTTATTCGAGTAGCAGGAGTGAATATTTCACTTTATTAAAGTTATTTTAAAGTCTGACATAAACAATTTTTTGTAGATCAGGAAATAAGACTTTCCATTTGATTATATAATGATAGAGGTTCTTGGGTCAAGGAGACACCATGTCTAAATGTTAATAGTTTCAGGAACATCAAGATTTTATCTCAAGAGGCTTGATTAAATCTCTAGTGGTTCAACTGAGCTCTGGATGTACCTGCACAAATTCTCCACTATATTTTTTTCTTTTGTCCCTGAGAGATTAATATACTATCAGGTTGGGATGGTGGTGAGGCTGAAGAGTCTGTCTCTATAGCTCTCAGAGAAATCATATATAATCAGGGCATAAGGGAAGAGCTAATAGAAGAATCTATATACCATGCAAAATGGTTCTTGTTATTTTGATATCTTCATATTTAAAGAGACAAATACAATAGAGAAATGTTGCTATAAGTCATTCTTGTTAAAATATAAACCTATATAATTTTATATTATATTTGTTGATATTGGGTCAGCAAATATGAAAATGAGTTATCAAATTGTTGTGTAACCTTGGGCAAGTTAATCAATTTATTTAGCCCTTAGTTTCTAATCTGAAGAAAAGGGGTATGAAAAGAATTAGATGACCCACAAAGTCTCTTCAGCTTCTCTGTTGTAATGTTCTCTCACTATTCAAAAGAAATGTATGAATTTATAACAAAATATAATGGGTGGTTTAAAGTTTTTTCTTTATATCTTTATTTTATAAATTACATAATGATCATTTTTACTTTTTAAATCAGAAAAAAATAAAAATGTATATTAATTAATAAGTCAATACATTTGTTATAAATTCACTTAATTTATATTATTTAAACTACATATTTAAACTACACAAAATTTCCATAAACACAAATTACATATACACCACTTGTAATAAATTTATACAGAATTCTGAATTTATAGCAAATATATATATTCTTTTACCATTAGTCACCACCCTTTGGTTCTCAAATATTTGAACTACTTGCGCTCCCCATTCTTTGAGACAGGTCCTGCATAGCTCTTCTGAAAATGTCAAAGGCATTCTTTCGTTTTTTTAAAAAGATGAAAACGGGCCTCCCCGGTGGCGCAGCGGTTGAGCGCTGCGTTGCGAAGCTGCCCGTAAACCTCTGCAGCAGCGCCGGTTCGATCCCCGGCTGCTCCACGGCCACCGGAGGAGGGTCCCACATGGCGCACAGACCTCCCCTGCTGCCCGCTGCTCCCCTCAGCAGTGTACCTTGGTCCTTCTGCCTGCTCTGGCTCTGGTGAATTCTCTCACCCTCCCGTGCTTCTGACTGTACCCAGTGCTTGAATAAATAAATAAATAAATAAATACGAAAACAAAAAAACAAACCCAAATCACCTGCCATCATCCTTTACACCCCTTTTAACCACTTCTCTCACCCCCACCCTCTTAACCTCTGGTAACCTCACTTTGGTTATCTATGACCACTAATATTTTTTATTTTGTTTCATCAGTTCATTTACTTTATTTCCATTTTATTTTGCTACAAACGGCAAAACTTCTTTCTTCATAGTTGGGTAATATTGTATTGCATGGCTAGACCTCATCTTATTTATCCAATCATCTTGCAGTGGGCACTTAGGTTACTTCTGAAAACTTTCCTTTTAAGACTAATGAATTGATACTTAACTAACCTGAAAATAATTTGGTGACCTAAGGACTAATTCTTTTTCTCTGCTTTCAGGTGTATCTCCTCAGCAATTAAGAACCCCTTTCCTAAAGAAGAAAGAGTTGATTGAAGATTGGATAAGCATGAACCTGCGCAGGAGTGGGTTTAAGCTCATTGGAAAGGTGACCGGTGGCCTGGAAATAAAGAGAAAATAAATCTACCCTCATTACTAACTCACATTTGGAATTAAATATATACATATATTTTTTCATGACTATTGATCACTCACTGAAATGATGGAATATACAAATATTAAAGCACATTCTCTCAGAGCACTTAGTTTCATTCCTTTAGACTACTAGCACGTTCCTTGAAATGGTGACATTACTGCCAGATCACCCCACTAACTGAGAGTTAAAAATAGGTTTCCAAGATGACTAGGGGATCAGGCCACTCAGATCCTTTGTATTCATTTTTATCATTTGTTTTGGTATGTTTGACATTGTTAATGAAGTAGAGTGCCACATATTTAGCCTGAACACACTGCATGATTTTCAGGCCATTAACCACTGGATTGCTTATGCACAGACATAGCAGGGACTATATTTGTTAGTTACAAGTGACTGCCAGGCTATGACATTTGAACCTTCTTTGAAAGAAAAATTTTGAACCCTGCATGAAGCAAAAAATAAACAGTCAAAAAAAAAATTGGTGAAGAAAGCATTCTTCTAATGGAAAGAGTTAATAAAAGCTCTGGACCCCAAATAATGTTATTGGAGTCTCTTTATTTCAATATTTAATGTTAACATTAATAATGATCCAAAAATCTAAAAAATTTTTCCAGTTAGCATATTTTTCTATTTGATTAAATATTAAAACTGTGTAATTAGTTACACTTTGCAATGAAAAGCAAAATAAAAGTAAAATGAACAGCATTATAAGAAAAGAGCCCATAAAATTTTTTCCCCTCAAAATGACCAGGCTCAAATGAGATTCATAGCTTTGAAGTTCACTAACAAATTTATTTGTGTTCCAGACATACTGCTATGTTTAATCTCTAATGACTCTCATGTGTCCAACTTCTTTGATTATTGTAACCAATGATTATAAATTCAAGGATATACCAGCAATTAATCTATGATAAAACATCTATGACCATAAACTGGGGGTAAAAGGCAGTCTCAAATAAATGGTGCTGGCAAAATTGGAAACTACCAATAAAAGAATAAAATTGGATAACTCACTACCACTATACACAAAGGTAAATTCCAAGTAGATTAAAGGTTTAGGTATAAAACCTGCAACAATAAAAAAAATAAAATAGAAGAAAACATGGGCAATACATTCTATGATACCAACAGCAAAGATATTTTTGGTGACTTAAGCCCTATAGAAAGAAAATTAGAAATGAAAATAAACAATTGGGAGTACCTCAAGTTAAAAAGCTCATCTACAGTAAAACAAAATATAGGATGATTAAATAGACACCCTACTGAATGACAGAAAATGTTTACACAATGTGTAACAGATAAGTGATTAACATCCAAGATACATAAAAATTCATACAATTCAACAATAAAAAACAAATAACCCCAATTAACATATGGGTAGCAGATATGTGGGAAAAGTTCACCAAAGAGGATATCTAGAAGGCCAAAGACTTATGAAAAAAAATTCATCATTGATTTCAATAAGAAAGATGCAGATTGAAACCACCATGAAATACCAACTAATACCATGAGTGGCACATATTAAAAAGACCCTCAAGGACAAGAGCTGGAGAGGATGCAGAGCAAAAGGAACCTTATTACACAATTGGAAGGAATGTGAACTGGTCAACCCATTATGGCAAGCAATCTGGATTTATCCTAAAACATTAAAACTCCATATATTCCACAATGTTCATAGCTGCATTATTTAAAATAACTAGGAGACAAAAAACTATGAACCAGAGACACTTTTTGGGGGGTGGGGGCCGGGAGGGGAGGGATTGGGGTCAGAATGGGGCATGTGCAGTTGTATGGGGGAATATAAAAATAAAATTTATTATTTAATAAAAAAAAATAACTAGGAGATATAAGCAGCCTAAATCTCCTTCTGTGGATGAATGGATCAAGGTGTGATACCTCTAATACCTCATGGAGTATTAGATTGCCATAGGAAAGAGTGAAATGCAGCCGTTTTCAACAAAATGGAAAAAATTTGAGAAAATTCTTTGCAGCAAAGCTTGTCATTTTGATAAAAACAAATATTGGACACTCACACAGCAGACAATTTAACAATGTACAACACTTTTGAATATTGGTGAACATTGATAAACTTTCTAAGGACTCAAGAGATTAATAGGCAGGAGGAGAGAAAGGAACAAGGGAAAACAAATAACTAGACACCCTTCTTTATACTTCACATTAACGAGAGAGGGGTAAAGGCTTAATTATTTTAGTAAAGATTTTGAAAATACATTTTATCATCACCATATGGGTCCTTTAAACCTGGACTCCTTTTCACTTCAAGTTGGAGAAGGTGATTTGATCAACAAGGGCAGAGAAGGCCCTGCATACCCGCTCAGCGCCACAATACAGTTCTGTGTTTACTGAAGACTGAGGACCTGAAATAAAAAACAGGAGAGTCCTTTAAATATGTAGCTATGGATGTAGAGATGGATATAGATCTGCAGATAGATAAATATGTGAGAGAGCTTAAGAGAAAGGTTCATTAAGATTTTATACATAACCGTAGTATTCCCAGACATTTGAGACTGTCTGTTAAATAAGTGAGATAATAATGCAATGTTAAACTTCTCTTCCCTGAGTTTGCTAAAACATTATTCTCCCCCACCTTCATTAGCTAAATTTCAAGCTTTATTTTCTGATTATTTATAATGAAGATTAGAGGATGAAGATGAAGATGGGAACAGGAATAAGCCTCCATATCCTCAAGTCCCTCAACCATGCTCTCCTAACCCCATCACTCTACTGACAGTCTTCCCTTCTCATCTTGGAGACCTACAGTGGCAAATGGATGGCAAAGAAGTTTGGGAGAGAAGCTGGGAAAAGAATTTCAGAGAGATATGCAGTAAAGTTCACTCATATGTGGAAAGAAAATAAGTTAATAGGAAAGGAAAACTAGAGTGTTACATCTTTTTTTTGGATATCACAGAAGCAAGATGTTTTAGATATGCTTTCAAATCTAAGTTCTTTACTGCAAGGTTCAACAAATTGTTGCTACTGATTTTCAATCTAACATTTGGAATCTAAAGAGGTTTCAGGAGCCCATTCTACACACTTTCTCTTTTCCATTAAACTTTCATAGACTCTTAAAATCCTGTTATCCTAGATCTTGATACTGAATGACTCCATTCAGTTAATGTCAACAGCTTCCCCCACATTGACCAAGTCTGCTGTTTTAGTCTATTAAGCTTTTAAGTAATATAAAGTTCATCTTGATTTCCAATATGTCTTGATTTCTTAGTAAAGTACCAATCCAAAAGGGTAGTTAGCTACAAGGATAATTACATTTCTAGGTCAAAATATTGGCACCCTGAGTAAATTTTAGCATGTTATGAATAGCAGATCTTTTTAATTTTCCCAACAATTTTCAAATTAAAAAAAAAAACTAGGACAGTAAAATGATGACAAATTTCCTTCTGCTACACAGTGCATCTGTGACAGAGAGGGAAATAAAACAAAGGTAACCAATTCTTTATTTTGTTTGTTTACACATTTTCCTCTGTTAGGTTTTATTTCTGGTTCTGATTAATCTTGGTGTAATTTTAGTAAGCATGCATAGATTATGTATAAATTATGGAGTATATTTTTATAATCCATATTGTTAATGGCTAAGTGTGGTTTACAAGCAGGATCATATTCAATACTAGATTGAATAAGGACACAAAAGAAATACTTGAGTGAAGAAGGACAGTGTTTAATTAAAAGCAAATAGGGGGCCTCCCCGGTGGTGCGAAGCTGCCCGCGGCCTCTGCAGCGCCGGTTCGATCCCCCGCTGCTCCCCGGCCACTGGAGGAGGGTCCCGCATGGCACGCAGACCTCTCCTGCTGCCCGCTGCTCCCCTCAGCAGTGTACTTCGGTCCTTCTGCCTGCTCTGTGCCCCGCTCTGGCTCTGGTGAATTCTCTCACCCTCCCATGCTTCTGACTGTACCCAGTGCTTGTATAAATAAATAAATAAATCTTTAAAAAAAAAATTAAAAAAAAAAAAAAAACTTGAGCTTTAAAAAAAAAAAGCAAATAGGAACATGTAGACTAGCATAGATTCTATGTTTAAAATAACACTTATATAAAAGAAAAACTGTAAATTTATATCAGATCAATCAGCATTTGTTGAATTATCACAGAATATACTACCCTAAAATAACAAAAATGGGAAAATATTCACCATCTTCCTAATGTCATAAGCACTTTTGTATAATAATGCATACTTCCTGAAGTAGCATCTTAACTTCTATTTAAATTGTAAATAGAAGCAGAGGTAAATTTTTTGAACAGATAGTTTTTATTTTCTATAAGATTGGACAGTGCTAATTGCATCTTTATACATTATTGTATAATCAAGGAAATTGTATAATAAAGGAAATCATATGATTTCCTTTTAGTAACATAATTATCTACTGTTTATATCAAATAAAATAGATTTCTATAAAATAAGTAACAAGATGCAGGGATGGACATTATATAATGATTAAGGAACAATACATCTGGAAGGTATAACTCTCATCCATATATGTTCACCAAATGAGTTAAGCATCAAAATATGTAAGGCAATTATTATCAAATCTGAAAACAGACACTGGCAGCAACACAATGGTGCTGGTGACTTCAACATCCTCCTTTCACAGGGGACAGATCAACTGCACAGAAAATAAACAAGGAAACAAAATCCTTTAACAAAGAATTAGACCATTTGGGCTTAATAGATATTTATAGGGCACTGCACTCCAAAAAAAACTGGATACATTTTCTCAAGTGTACATGGGACATTCTCCAAGATGGAGCATATATTGGGTCACAAAACAAGTATCAATAAATTCACGATAATTGAAATCATATCAAGTATCTTCTTTGATCACAAAGGAATTAAAATAGGAAAATAGGAATAACCTGTAATATATGAGGACTGAAAAACACACTATTGAATGACTATTGGATTAATGAGAAAATCAAAGAAGAAATTAAAAAATATCTAGAGACAAATGAAAATTAGGACACAACCAACAAAAAACAGTATGAAGGAAACCTCATATAGCAGTACAGGCCACGACAATATACAAGAAAGAGCTCAAATAAATAATCTTTTCTCTCACCTTAAGGAAGTAGGAAAAGATGAACAAACAAAACTAAAAGCCAGTAGAACAAAGGAGATAAAAACTAGAACAGAAACACATGAAACAGAAATTTTTTAAAAAGTCTAAAAAATTAATGTCAAAAGCTGATTCTTTGAAAAAGCAAACAAAATGGACAAATCTCTAGCTCAGTTAATAAAGGAAAAAAAAGGAGAAAACTCTAATAAATAGAATAAACAATGAAAAAGAAGTTACAACAGGTATTTCAGAAATACAGAGGCCCTTAAGAGATCAATAAGAACATTTTATGCCAGTAAATTGATAATGTTGGGACAAATTCTTAGACATACAAAAGCATCTGAGACTGAATCAGGAAGAAATAGAAAATCTCAACAGACCAATTACAAGCAATGAAATTGAAACACTAATCAAAAGTCTCTTCACTAGTGAGTTCTATCAAACCTTCAAAGACAAACAAATACCCGTCTTTCTCAAACTCAACAAGTTGAGAAAGGATAAAACGCTTTCACACACATTTTATGCTTCCAGTATTATCCTGGTAACAAAACCAGACACTGGTGGAAGACTATGGGTGCTATGGTGGTGGGTTTGGTATGGTAACAACCTCTGAGCAAGTGTGATCCTATATCTCTGAATCACACACAGTGTTGTAAACCAATGTAAATTCAATTAAAAATGATATTTTAGATATATAGATGCTGAGCTGCACACAGTGTTGGGATGTTGTCTTCCAAATATAGGCAGTAAACTTCGAGTAGGAGAAATCTAAAATGTGCAATACAGCCTTTTTCATTAGTGAGGACTGACCCTATTCAACATTTTAGAAATCAACAGCTTTCTTAAGTTCAATTGAAGAAATCTCGTAAGGTTTATCATATTCAATGCTTACAATAGCCCTATGAATTAGGGAATATTAGTGTAGGGTAAATGGATTGATCAGGTTTTTTGTGCCACTAGCCTCTGCTGCAGAAGGCGCTTGGGAGCATGGGCTCAGGGCACGCATGCCTGATTGTGGACACCTGGAGCATGGGTGGGCACGCATGCTTAATTGTTTACACCTGAGCCCATAGATACACCAGCCTAGAGATGTAAGAGCCACGATATAAGGGCAGCATCACTCAGGGACAGAAGACAGCTGCAGGAGGATGGCGAGAAGAGTACGCGCGACTACAGAGGAGGTGAGACCACGAGAGAATGCCAGAAAGGCTGGAGAAAAAGTGTAAAGATTCATGGAGGGGGGAGGTTGGGAAGCTCGGTTGCCTGCCTGCTTCCCAGCCTCCCTTGCCTGGTGTGTCTGTGTACCTGGTTCCCTGAGAGATCATGAAAGCCCGAAAAATCCACGGAGGGCTCTGGAACTCTCCTTTGTTCATGGGCCCAAATCCATAGAGAACCTGCCCTGTGCCTGCTTGGCACAACAACTAGACATAAAGTTCAGAGACACTACAGATGCCCTAAAGATTCACAACTCTGTTGTTCACTAGATGAATTGTGGCTCTTGGAAAATGGTATAAAATCAAGAATTTTTAAAGGCAGTCTGGATCCATAACCATCATTATTTCCATTAATTGTGAAAATATTACCTGATGGCATTTCTAGAGTGAAGGCATCCATAAGTCTAGACAACAATTCTTGTAGTTCCTCTTTCTCAGGCTCATCCTCTCTCTGGTGGATGTCAATTGCTTCTTTTCTTTCTGCAGTTGTTATATGAGGACTGCTCATTTCAGCAGCAGCAATCTGCGAGGTGTCCTGTGGCAGAACTTCCTGAGAATTGGGTAGGGAACTTAACATTGCCTTCCAGGTCTTCTGTGTTGGGCTTTGTGCCCAGGTTGTGTTGGGCTTTGACATCAATTGCAAAATGATCTCTGATGATTCAGACTTTGGTAGAGCGAGTTCTGCATTTGTTTGTTTTCGATGACTTTTGTCAATCATGGTGTGATTAGGAAGAGGTTCCCACTTTGAGCCATTTCCAGTGGCATTCTTGATCTGGGAAGAATCTCCTTCTCTATAAAATCTTTCACTTTTTCCATGGTCACTCTTGGAAATCATATTTAGACAGGAAGAAGGTGAAGGATGGAATGGCTGTAACATTGCCTGTGCAAAGAAAACTTAATTTATAAGCAAATTAACATCTATCATTGTTTTTCATATATGCATTAAATTTCAGTATTCCAATAGAAAATTCCTTCCCTCCCTCCCTCCCTCCCTTCTTTCCTTCTTCTGAGGTAATATTGGTTTACAACACAGAAGTGATTCAGAGGTCTAGGGTCACACTTTCTCAGACATGTGTCACCACAACACACCCACCACAAGGCTTCCACAGTCCTCCACACTAGTCCATTGGTCACCCTTCATACTTTTTTTCCCCAAAGATTTATTTATTTATGCATACAAGAACTGGGGTACAGACCATAGGTGTGGGAGGGTGAGAGGATTCACCAGAGACAGAGTGGAGAGCAGAACAGGCAGAATGACTTAAATACACTGCTAAGGGGAGCAGCAGGGGGAGACAGGAGAGGTCTGCTGCACCATGTGGGTAGCTCCCTGGCCAGGGATGGAACTCATGCTGCAGTGGCTGCAGATGGCTTCATAGGTTGCATCTTAACCCCTTGCACCACCAGGGAGGCCCCACCCTTCACACGTTTTCTTCACTTTTTCTCCCCTTTTGGTAAGCTTAATTTTACAAACAGATTTCTGGAGTTTGTTATTCAATAGGAAATTTGTTTTTTTTTTTTTAAATGATTTATTTATTTATGCATACAAGAGCTAGGGTACAGGCCAGAGGAGCGGTGGGAGGTGGGGAGGGTGAGAGGATTCACCAGAGACAGAGTGGGGAACAGAACAGGCAGATTGACTGAAATACTGCTGAGGGGAGCAGCCTGCTGCGTCATGTGGGTTGCTCCCTGGCAGGCTGGAGATTAAACTCATGCTGCAGAGGCCACGGATTGCTTCATAGTGCTGTGCTTAACCCCTTGTGCCAATAGGGAGGCCCCAATAGGAAATTTGAATAAGATTTTCCTTCTCTTCTTTAAATATATCATTGATTTAACCCTATGCTGTTAATTCAATGTCAACTTAAAACTGTCTAGAAAGTTAGAACAGCTCAGAGTCTAAAATATCATGGGAAATAATCACAAGGGATAAGAGAAATTGTAGTTTCTAAAAATATGATAAAGAATTTCTGAAAACATTTTCAATGTGGTCCACAGACTAGTTTTCCCTGAAACCCCTTTAAAAGTCCATATGGTCAAAATTATTCTCCTAATGATTCTTAAATGTTATTTGCCTGTTCATTGTGTTGACATCTATACTGACTGTGCAAAATCAAGAGTAAGTAAAGCTAAGGCAGTTGGTGCCTTTGAACAAATCAAAGTGGTGTCACCATCTTTGATGGTGTAGCAAAAAGTATTTTCTTAATAACATATCTTTTTAATATCACGTGATTAAATGGGAAGTGTACATAAAATACTTCTGATGCCTACTAAAATGCAAAGGTTGTTTCTTGTATGAAAGAATGACAGACAGGGCCTCCCTGGGAGCTGAGGGGTTAGTTCTCAGCACTATCACTGCTGTGGCCTGAGTTGGATTCCCAGCCAAGGAGCTAACCCGCATGGCGCAGCAGACCTCTCCTGCCTCACTCACTGCTCTTCCTCAGCAGTGTGTTTCAGTAAATCTGCCTGCTCTGCTCCCCACGCTGTCTGCTCAATCCTCTCACCCCTCCCCCTCCCCCCACCTGCCCCCACCCTGCACCTCCGGCCTACACCCCAGTTCTTCTATGCAAAAAAAAAAAAAAATGACAGACTATATTACTGTGACTTGGGTCCTTGGCAAACATTTTCTCAAAAATGAACTTCTTGTTATGAGGAAAATAATTGCTAACAATTGTGATATGATTGTAACAGCTGAGCTTTTAAGCAAAATGTAAAATTTTGAACTGATTCCATCTTGTGTCTGAGATTTCATCTTACTGAATTTTTAATAAAAGAAAACTACTGACTGGAATGAATCAGTTTCCAGCTATACATGGCTTTCTCTAACAACTCTAGATAATTTTTTTTCTTCTCTCCATAGAAACCAAGGTCATTTTGACTAAGAGCCGTAATCTATAACCAATGCCAGATTCTTCCTCTCCTTTCTCCACCTATTTTCCTTTAAAACCTCCTTAAACCAAGACTCCAGTGGGACATAATTTATTCTGCTACCTGGGTTTGTGCTACCCAGTTTCCAAAGTAAGAATATTTTAAGACTACTGCCAAGCTTAATTCTGGTTATGGTAAATAGTGATAGAAAAATACCCACAAAATCTCTTCGGAATCTTCAAAAAATTTTAAGAATGCAAAAGGTATGCTGAGACCAAAAGATTTAAGAATCAATACTGTCAAGAGCCACTTTGCACCACATCTGTTTTTTCCAAATGGTACCAGTACTATTATTGGTACCACAGTCTGCAGGAGACAGTGTGGTGGATGCCAAGTCAGGGGTGGGGGTGGGGATCGGTCAGGGTGCTGAGTCAAGAGGGAAGGGGAAGGAGATGGCCAAAGGGAGCTGCTACACAGGCCTCCCTTAGCCAGAAGATCCAAGGTCAGGGGGCGCAGAACACAATGTGTCCCACATTTTATACCTGAAGGTGCTGTCCCATCTGCTGTAGTTTATTCCACAGACTGTCTTGGCTGGTTGTGAGTTCATGAATCTTTGTTTCAAATCTGTAACTTCTTTCTTCTTGGGAGGCATATATGGCTTGTAATTTGTCTTTGAATTGGTTTAACTGCTTTCTAAGGAGCCTGCAAAGAAGATTGATGTGAATAGCATAGAAGGGCAAATGTCAACCCAGTAACTAGAATTTTAGCAAAATTATATAAATGGAATAAGTTTTTTTTTAAGAATTTTTTTTTTTTTACTTTTTAAATTTTTATTTATTTATTTTTTAAAAGATTTATTTATTTATTTATATAAGCACTGGGTAGAGTCAGAAGCACGGGAGGGTGAGAGAATTCACCAGAGCCAGAGCGGGGAGCAGAGCAGGCAGAAGGACTGAAGTACACTGCTGAGGGGAGCAGCGGGTGGCAGGAGAGGTCTGCACGCCATGTGGGACCCTCCTCCAGTGACCGGGGAGCAGCTGGGGATTGAACCGGCGCTGCAGAGGCTGCGGGCAGCTTCGCAACCCAGCGCTCAACCGCTGTGCCACCGGGAAGGCTCTAAATGAAATAAGTTTTAAACAATTAGTTTGAGATAATTATTTTAAGAAGTTTTAAAGGATTAAGTTTCAAAGTTTTTTGCTTCTATATTAAAATTTAATTGTCTTTTTATTACTAAACTGCTTTCCTTACCTTTGTTTCTACTTTCTTTTTCTTATACCATGAAACTTTAATATTTTGTTAATAATTAATAATATTTAATAATTGATTAACAATCAACAATTAATATTAAATTCAAATATTGATTAGATTTAATATTTTATTATTAAGCTTTTAATATTTAGATTATTAAATTACTTTAAAAGTGTCATTAAGTTTCTTTTCATGAGTTATAGATTCTTTAAAAAATGCTCCTGTCTTTCATACATTCACATACATATGTTTATATATGATAAGATATATTTTACATTATATAGCCATTAGTTTGTTGAGTATCTACTAGATGCCAAGCATTGTTCCTGAAAGCAAAAGCCTCTCTTTGAGGCAAATTCTTAGTGACGACCTAGGAGTTCTGTCTTCTAATGGAATGACAACTAGAGACAAGATCTCAAGGAATGATCAGTCCCTTGAAACACAACAATAAGATGGGAGTCAGTTTTCAACCAAGCTAACAAAGCTAGTAGAAAGTTGGGTGCTGTTGGAGAAAGTGATTCTTTAAAAGTAACTACTCCAATAGTCAAAGCTTTTACTTTGGGTATAGGATTTCTCTGTTAAGTAATGTCTTCCAAATTAAAATAAAAGAGCATGATGAAATCTGTAGAAAAATTTCCTATAAAAGCAAAGGGAAATGCTACTGATTTGTCTCTGCTGTTGGAAGATAGGTAGTTCCTACCTTCTTTCCTTATGGAGAGCAGTAATGGATTCGCGAGTCCTCCACAGTTCATTCCTAATACTAACTACAGTCTAGAGAAGCAAGAAACAGAGAAAATAACATAATTTTTAGTTTGAATTAAACCCACATTCCTAAAAATAGCTCATAAGAACACAACAATGGTGTTTTTACAATCTAGTCTATTTCAAAAATTGACCAGTGCTTAAATTTATGTCCACACACACTGATGTAGATGTTCATATGCTCACAATAGTTGTCTTTACACAACAGTTGTCTTTAAAGAGAGGAAAACATTAAAAAAAAAATTCTAGCTTTTAAAAGCAAGTTACAATAGTCTTTTGCCCAAGTTGGCACTTTTCCTTCCCCAAAATCATCATAAAATATAGTCAGGTCACTTTCTTCCTCTTTGCTCATTTCATTTCTACTTCTCACCTTCTACTGAAGTTTTCCTGTCTCCCATTGCTTCCTACAGCACATCATTTCCCTTGGAATTCAAGTCTTTTTGAGTTAGTAATTTCCATTTAGGATTTTCCCAGCAAAACTTCTCACATTCTGCTCCCTGAGCTGCAACCCAAGTACAAATCCCAGCCTGATCCAGCTTGGCCCAGACCCCTGAGGCACCTTGCACCAGCCCCAGGCTCCCACACATCTGCATGGAAGGTTGGATTTCTAGATTTGTAAGCAGTGCCACTGTACACCACAGCTTCCTCTCTTCCCTGCAAATGATCTGAAAAGGGCCTGGACATCTTGGGATCATTCTTCTCTAGAAAGAACCTTAAAGAAGAAGTGGGAAGGACAGAAGAAATGGAGTTATAGACTCAAAGTCCCACTATGGGTGCATATCCTTGCCAACCCTATGAGTCTATGCCTGCCTCCCTCTCCATTCAAATACATGGCTTCCTTGTGCCACACTCAGTCTTTGAATCAGTGAACTTTATATTTTTAACAGCAATGTAATCAAATGGTACACACGTTTCTGTAATTGAGAGCCAGTCAGGTTATCCTACATGAACCATGAAATAGATACCAAGGTTTACTTATTTAGTCATTCTTAATTGAAAGACATTAGGCTGTTCAATGATTTTCTGTTTTCTAAGTAATATCACAGTGAGCAAAGCTGTCCATGCCTCCGTGTGCATATGTGTGCGAGGTTCTTAGGTTTCTTATGTTTAATAGCTAGTACCCATGTGGGTGCCCTCTTTGGACACACATATACACACACATACATGTATTTAAAAATGTACAGAAAATAAAAAGGATCAGCAGAAATGTACCCCAAACATATCACCAACAAACATAAGTGCCCCTCAACAAATGCATGGATACAGAAATTGTGGAATAGACACTCAGCTTTGAAAAAAGATGAAATAGTGGCATTTGGGCCAAAACAGATGGATCTTGACCTAAGTCAAAAAGTGAAAGACAGATATGAGATGGTTCCATTCATCTGTGGAAGAAACCAAAAAATACACAGGCAAAATACAGTAGGAATAAATTTTGAACTCAGCGAAAGAATATATATTTACCAAAGGAACAGGGGGAAGGAGGAGGGAATAGAGGAGGGAAGGAGATGAGGTATTGGCACAGACCATTTGGTGGAGGGTGAGTGGAACATGTGCACATATAGAAGAGCAAAAATGTAACCCCCAAAATTAACATCCTAAATGAGGAGACTGATAATCTGGTAAGGACTGTCTCAGACTGAGAATCATGGTTACAAATGACTTTCTGTAATATTTTAACCTTTTATAAGGTAAATGGATTCAAGACTTAATTTGTTCAATTAAAATTTTTTAATTAAATAATGAAATGTGGTACAGACATAAGATAAACCGAGCAATTTCAGAAATGATAAGGAGATAGGAGAAAAAGAAAAGTAAAAGTAAAATAAAGAGGAGAACCAACCAAACAGCAAAGCTTCTTTTAAATTTCTTCCTCTGGAACAAATAAATATTAAAAGTGAAAAAATGTCTGTCTCGTGCAAATGGGTTTTCTTCTTTTATTGGAAGCAAAGAGCAGAGTAGCTCTGTCCTGAATCACACTGCACCATTACAAAATTGTCTAGATTAATTGTATATTAACAATTTCCCTTTTGGACTCACCTGATGGTGTGAGCTGCTGTCTTTGACCTGTTGAGCCTGAGGTTTCCTTTGAGCTATTTCTTTGGAGGCGTCCATGGCTTCTGGCCCAGTTAGACTTACATACATTGGTACATTAGAGCTATTGTGTTGAATGGAGAGCCTGCTATAAAATGGAATCTTATAAGAAGCTCTAATAATTTATAACTATAAAATGTGACACTGAAGAAATTCTTTTTAGAAAATGTTAAATCAGATATTTAGTTCAATATAAAAAATAGCAATAAAGACACCCAGCATTTATTCCTGTGCTTTTCCCCCAACTATTCTTTAGCTATAGAGCCAAACTGCCAATGATAAAAATGAAAATTACACTCCCCCACTTCTTCACAATCTAAAAATGAGAATGCAAAAGAAATTCAGGAACAACTGCAGAAAATTCTCCAGGTCATCTTGTCCCGGGTCAGCTACTAGGGATTCTAATTGCAGGTGTCAATTATGTCATATCCGAAAGAACACAGACTGGAACAAAGCAGGTTAAGGTCAGATTTATTCCATTTTTATAGTTTTTATTCCTCTATTCAAAAACTATTTTAACATCCTGCCATCTTGGATTACTGCAGAGAAAAAAAAAATTTTTTTAAAGCAGAGAACACCCTGCTTACAGAGTTCATATCTAACAAACAGAAAGATGGTCCTTCCTGACATAATGGGATTATATCTACAGAACACAATGAGAGCAGAAGGGAAGAAGCCATTACTCTGGGATATACTTAAATATGTGTTTAAGTGGTAGGCATTTTGGAGGTAGAAAAACAGGGTAACCCATAACTTTTTTGTCATATCCTAGCCCTATCAGAGATAATTTTCATATCTTAGGGTTGTTTCATACCTTTCCATATACAAATATTTGTTTTGCTGTTATTTTCCCCATCATAACAAGACATTCTCTTAACTTCATTATTACCACTGACACTGTCTTTGCTTCCTCTACAGCAAAAAATGCTGGAAAGAATTTTCTTACTTGGTGCTTTTGATTCCTCAGCTCCCTTTTCCTCTTATACTGCCTTTAGTCTGACTTTTTTTTCTTACTGCCATTGTCCTACAAGGCTTTCCTTGAGGTCATCAATGGTTTCCTCATTGCTAAATCCCCAGGTCAGTTATCACAAGGATAATTAATGTAGCAGAACAGGAATTGGATGTTGGGCCTAAATTTACCATGAACTAGTTGAAGGACTGCCACTCCCCACCCCCGAGGTTTCACATTCAACAACACTAAAATTTTTAAGAAGAGCAGTGAGGGGTAGACCAGGTGATTTTTAAGGTCACTTACTATAAAATAAATAAAAATTCTTACTGGAACTAGAGGCAGCATTGGACACAGTAGAGCACGCCTTCCTCTGTGAAACACATCTTCAAGGATCCCTCATTTTCTTAACTTTTCTCTTGCTTTATTCTTACTCTTTCTGGGTCTTCCTTGCTGGGTTTTCTTCTCGTTTGTAAAGTGGGGCATCATAGTGCTCAGACTGGGTCTTCCTGTCTAATTATTGTACTCTCTCTTTGATGATTTAATATAATCTTTTGGCTTTAAAACTCATATATTTCAACAAATCCTGAATATTTATTTCCAATATACTTTCTCCAAATTGCAGACATGACCAACCCTCTGCCTACTTGACACCTCTATGTGGATGTCTAAGAGATATGTCAATCCTAACAAGTCCCAAACAAAACTGACCTTCCCCCATTAAACTGCTCTAACTGAAACTTCTCTCATTTCAAATAAAAATAACTTTATATTTTACTATAGTACCATCATAACCATAAAGCTTAGTACAGATATAGGAAAAGACACAAAGATATGAGGATGAGAATTAAATTCTATTAATTGACCCAAGTATGTGAAGAAACCTAGTATGTGACCAAGATGTCATTTTAATTCTGTGAGGGAAGAGATCACATAATTGGTTACCCATGGGAGAGAAGGCAAATCTATACCCTTGCTAGAATAAACTTCAAATGGATTGAACATTTAAATTAAAAATTCAAAATAGAAACATTAGAAGAAATTTAGGAAAATATTGGTGTTACTGAGTATTACTCCCCTCCAATTACTATCACCAGTTTGCCTGCTAAGCTGTTCTCGGCAGTCCAGCCTTTGCTACAGTTAGCTGCCCCAGCATCCTCACTGCTCTCCGGACCTGCCAGCTACACCCGGGCTGTGAAGAGGCTGTCTCTCCTCAACTTGCAGCTTACTTTTCTCAGGTACCTGTATGATTTACTCTCACCTCCTTAAGGCTAAGTTCAAGTGCTACCTTGCATTGAGAGCCACTCTGACTACCTTATTTAAAATTGCTACCAATTCTCCCTCATCGCTTGATCTCCTTATCCTTCCTTTCTTTTTAAAAAAAAATTTTGAGTGTAAAATTTCTAATATACTACATAGCTCACTTATATACCTATTTGCACTGTCCAGTCCCTCCACTAGAATGAACGCTCCATAAGGGCAGAAATTTTTGTCTCTTTTGTTCACTCATACCCCAAGAGCCTGGGAGAGTATGAACTAAGTATTTATTGGATGAATACTTTTCAGATTATTTTCTGAAAAGCATGTAGACATTGTCATTCATTTGATCTTGGACATTCTGATAAATATGAGGTATAGGTACACAATGGAATACTATGCAGACATTAGAATGTTGAAATCTTGCCATTTGGGATAACATGAATGAAACTTGAGGGAACTTTGAAATAAGTCAATAGGAAAAGGATATATGCCAGATGCTTTCACTCATTTGTGGAATACAGAGATAAAAATCAAATGAACAAAACAAACTCTTTGATTCTGACAACATGATAGTGTATACCAGGGAGTGGGGGCAGGGGAAGGACAGGGTAGAGGGGACTGATTAGCTGGTGGTGGATGATGACAGAAAATTTGGAAGTGGATGTGGATACATTGCTGATGTGAGAAACTGTACACCCGAAACCTATGTTGTAAGCTAAAGTTAACTAAAGTTATCTCAATTAAAAAAACTGTCATTCTGGCACATATTAAAAAAACTAGCAACAACAAATGTTGGCGAGGGTGTGGAGAAAAAGGAACTCTTCTGCACTGTTGGTGGGAGTGCAAACTGGTCCAACCACTGTGGAAAGCTGTATGGAGATTTCTGGACCTACTAAACATAGAACTTCCATATGATCCAGCAATTCCACTCCTAGGTATTTACCCAAAGGACACAGAAACATCCATTCCAAAGAACACCTGCACCCCTATGTTTATAGCAGCACTGTTTACAATAGCTAAGCTTTGGAAACAACCCAAATGCCCAAAAATAGATGACTGGATCAAGAAGATGTGGTACATATATACCATGGAATATTACTCAGCATTCAAAAAAGATAAACACATGCAATTTGCAGCAACATGGATGGCGCTGGAAGGGATCATGCTCAGCGAAATAAGCCAAAAAGAAAAAGAAAAATACCGGATGGTCTCACTCATAGCAGGAATCTAGAAAACTTAAATAAGGGACCAGGAAAATGAATAACTATAAGAAAGTGAAAATCAAAATCAACAAAAAACTATGAACCAGAGACACTTTTAGGGGGGCGGGGGTGGGAGGGGAGGGATTGGGGTCAGAATGGGGGGGCTGCAATTGTATGGGGAATATAACAATAAAATTTATTAAAAAAAAAAAAAAAACTGTCATTCTAATAAATAATGATATATCATTCTCTGTAGTTTTCATTTTTCTAATCAAAATTACTTTGTGTGTTCTTGTTCAAAGACTTTTTTTTTAAGATTTATTTATGCATACAAGAACTGGGGTGTAGGCCAAAGGTGCAGGAGGTGAGAGGACTCACCAGAGACAGAGTGGGGAGCAGAACAGGCGGTTCTACTGGAATATACTGCTGAGGGGAGCAGTAGGCGAGACAGGACAGGTATGCTGTGCCATGTGGGGATCAAACTCATGCTGCAGTGGCTGGCATTAGCTTGATAGCATTGAGACTTGACTTACCCTGCGCCACCAGGGAGGCCCCCTCAAAGATATCTTTTTTTTAAAAAAAGATTTATTTATTTATTCATATAAGAACTGGAGTATAGGTCAGAGATGTAGGGGATCAGAGGATTCACCAGAGACAGTGGGGAACAGAACAGGCAGATTGAAATACTCTTCTGAGGGGAGCAGTGGGCAAGTCAGGAGAGGTCTGCTGCGCCATGTGGGTTGCTCCCTGGTCGGGGATTGAACTTGTGCTGCAGTGGCTGTGGATAGCTTCAAAGTGCTGTGTCTTAACCTCTTGCGCCTCCAGGGAGGCTCCTCAAAGACATCCTTTAAAATAAATACTGTTGATTCATTAACCTTGACTCATGCTCAGCAGCACTGTAATTCATGTCTAGATGACATACACATACCACATCTACTTTTTCTACTCATCCATTAAGGGACACTTAGGTCGTTTCCATATCTTGGCTATTTCAAATAAATTTGCAATAAATATAGGGATATGTATATGATTTGTATTAATTTTTGTTTTAAAATAAAACTATTTCTCAGAATAAACTGTTATATGTAAAGTAAGTGAATTTTCATTAAAAGACAGGAGGTTTATTACCGTATAGAATGCTTGCTGAACCAATGCATAAATTCATGATTACCACCTGGCAGTAATCATTAATCTCATAAAAGATAGTACTAGTGCCAACTTAATAGCTATCAAGGATATATATATATATTATTTTTACCTATTATCATATTGTAAAATGTTAATATTCCATATTCATTTCTCCTAGATCAGCCACAAATCAGAATTTCTGAGCTCATCGATATCTTGGCTAAACTGAAAATTATTACATAAGAAATTCACTTTGGGGAGCAATCATATTATACTCTGAGGGACAGAATATAACATATAGGCATTTAAAAAGATCTTTATCTTTGTGCAGTGCTCCTTACTACCTTTCCTCATCTTATCTCCACAAATACTTCTCTGGGAGTGGGAGAGACTGGTTTTCCCTATTGTCAGGTAAAGAATCTGAATCACAGAATCATGAAGTGACTTCCCCAAGGCCATACACCACAAGGCCACACACACAGCTGGCTGAGGACAAGGTTTCTGTGTCTCTCTGCTCTTTTAGGCTCAAACTTCACTACCTTCTTCATATGATGCTCCATTCTAAAATAGCTCATGATCTACCTCATCCACCCATTCATCCCTTTATCATGCATCCATTCACATTATTTTTATGCCAGCTAGCCAGTCAACATTTATTGAGCATTTATTGTATGCAGATAATTTTATAGACACTGGGAATACAAATGGAAAGAATAAAAAGGTTCCTCCCCTCATGGAGCTTACATTACAGCAAAACAAATGTCACATAAAATAATATAGAATAGTATAGTGAGATGCTGACAAAGTGCTTTGAAGAAAAATGACAAAGTGTCAGAGAGGTCAGGGCTGACGCATTACTAGGTGGTCAGGGAAGGCTCCAAGGACGAGATGACATCTGAGAGAGACTTACTGTGTGTCTTTAGGAACTGAGGCATCAGGCCATGGAGGGAGGTGGTGGTCTGGGGTATACAGACTGTAAAGGTTTGGGTCTTAAGAGGGGAATTTCTGGCTTAGTCAGATAGGTGGAGGGGGCATCAGGAGTGATGCACAGAATGTGGGGGAAATGAGACTTGAGGGGCTACCCAGGTGACTCAGGTGTGCAGGACTTCTCTAAGTCATTTTGCAATTTAGCTTTTAGTTTTAAGACAATAGGAAAATAATAGGGGGATTTAAGGCAAGGGAGTTTGGGGGAGATGGGCAAGTGAGGAATACTGTCATATCTGTGTTTTTTAAAAGATCAGTATGTCAGGCTTCCCCTGGTGGCGCAGTGGTTGAGCGCTGGGTTGCCCGCAGCCTCTGCAGTACCAGTTCGATCCCTGGCCACCAGTGAGGGTATCACAAAAAAAAACAAAACAAAACAAAAAACAGATCAGTATGTCTTCAGTGGCCAGAAGAAATGCAAATAAGCATATGGATCTTCACATTGCAACTGTGAGAATGTAGGAATTTAGACAAGATGTCAAGCACTCAATACATTCAGATGACTGAAATATTTTATTGTTATGCTGCTAGGAAAAGGTGAAATAACTGACTTGAAGAAAACAAATGTATCTTTGTTTTTATTTTTAAATTTAAACTATATTAAGTGATACACATCAAGATGATATCCAAATTCTCTAACTTAAAGGTTATGTTGATAAAAATCTGCTAGGGAAATGTGAAATGGGAATAATGAATGGCATATGAATGTAAAGTCAATATGCACTCTTCCCACTAGAGACCTATAAAACTCGATTCAATTACAACAAATTGTGAAGTCACAAATTGACCATAGAAATAAAATCTGGGATGGAGATGAAAATATGCTGGTGGATATCTGAGAAAATATTAAAGAATTTCAAAAAATGTAATGTAATGTCAGTTCAATTTAAACTCATTTCCTATTATATTCCCAGACGGGAAAATGGGAGTAAATGAATAATTCTATTTTTTTCCCCCCGAAGTGTGATGAACACAATCCCAAGGAAACAATACCTTTTTACTTTATCTTCTGAAATTTTATATTATGAAAAACTATTTATTAGAAAAATAAGGTCACAAGCACTTTTTAAAGTCATCTATAAGGTAGTGATCAGTTATGATGAGTGACGTCATATACCAGTAGGGGAGAGCACAATTTAGCATTCAGAATTTTGAAGAATAACAAGGTCCACAACTTTTGATCCAGTGGCTTTGAGTGCATTTATCTTAATAAAATGTTGAAAATATAGGAATGCACATATGTAGGAATATTGACTTCAGAATTTGTAGGGTGAGAGGCAAAATTAGAAAATAACCAAATGTTCATTGATAAGGGATTGCTTGTGACTTGTGGCATTTGCTTATAAGGAAGAGAGTGAGGTCATTAAACATTAAATCTTGGAAACTAATGACATGGTATATGTCCTTCTTTGCACATAGGTGGAAAGAAGAAAAATAATTCCTGCATATCTATGAGTGATGGAACAGTGAGTTTCTTTTCCTTTTTAAAAAAAGAACAAATGTAAGCAAATAGACCAAAGTTATTCAAACACTCTATAACATTAAAAAACTTGTGTCTTCCCCATGCCTTTAGTAGGAATAGCTTTAAATTACTGGATGCGTCAATTATTTAAAGATATTTTTGCCTCCAGTTCTACTTCAAAATGAAGGTTGTTTCTAGAGGGGAAAGCAGCTAACCCCTCCCCTCCTGCACCCTCAGCCTCTTCAGGCGCTTCAGCCTAGTGTAAGCTGCTGCCCCTGCCCGGGCCCACTGCTATCCCAGTGCTATTCCCTGCGGGACACCACTCATGGGCACTCACCCAGCAGGTGTGGGGTTAATAACCACGCCCTTTGGATTCACTGGGTCTGGCAGCCGAAAGTTTCTTCTTGCAGCTTCTCTCCTCCTATAGCGTCCTTGGAGCAGGTTGTTTCTGAGGGTCCTGAGGAGCTGTTTCGTGTGCTCCTTTGCTGACATCTGCTGGAACGGAGCATTAAAAAGGGTCAGATCAGTGTAAGCACATTGATCTTGGAGGACTGGCCCCCAAGAAAGTCTTTGGGATTACTTCACTTACTTTAATGTCCTTAGAGAAATCATCTAATAACCTTACTACTTACTTTTCACTCTCTATACACATGCACCTGTCATAATTTCCACATCAGTCCCCCCCAACTCCTGCAGTAGCTCCTCTTCTGTAGAACAGTCTAGTGATGTGAAATTCTGAAGCTGGAAAGGCGGGGATGAAAGAGAACTAAGTGTGTGCAAAACACAGTGTGTGGATTCCTGTAAGAATGGGATGACCACCAGTGGGTTTCTGGAAAAAACAACCCTAGCATACATGTAACTCAAAATAACATTTCAGAGACCCACAGGCCACTGGAGGTCCACCCATCAAGCTCCCATGAAGTAAATCTGCCCTAAGGAATAAAGGAGGAATGAGACCTTGTATTAAGTTTTTCAGCACTTAAGACTCTAAAGTGCAATAACATAGTGACCACATGGTGCCAGTGTAACACCAGTCCACCCTATTTCTCGCCAGGATTTAAAAAATCAGGAAGAGCATAAGCCAATACACCTGAGGATGTGGGTTAATAAAGTTTAGTCAAGTAATGCTCCTGGGAAATTATTTGGCAAGGCCTAGGCACTTGATCTTTATGGGCCATTCATGAGGGGAAACTGTCCTGGGTAAGGTTAATTAATCAACATCCTTCCCTATTGTTATCTGGGAGTGATGCCTGCGCCGAGAGACTGATTCATAGTCCTCGATGATGAAAAGGAGTTCTTTCTGGGAAAATTAAGATGTTTTTGATTAAAATTTACTTTCCTATTTTTATTTCTTCTTACAAAGAACTGAATTCTCTTGTTGAGTATTATTTTCTTAAAAATTTTGGAAATAAGCCAGACTGAGAAAGCTAAACATCCTATGATTTCAATCAGGGGTCGAATATAGAGGAAACAAACTAATGAACTAAATAAAACAAATTTTTGGACTATAAGGCCAGTTAGCGGTTACCAGAAGGGAAGGGGAAAGGTGGGTGGGAAATTGGGATAAAGGGGACTATGGTATGATGGTGGATAGAATCAGATGTTTGGCAGTGAAGTTAATGTAGTATGTATGTTATGCGGCAGGGAGAGGGGCACCCCAGAACCCCCAAACCTGCCCATGCTAAATAGGTTCTGCCATCTGTTGCATCAAGACAAAAACATATAAAACTTTTAATGGAAATGAACTTTAATACAATTAGTGTGCAATGCAGAAAAGGGAAGAATAAAGTTTCCAAATCAAACACCTGAAGTTGCTGCCCACCCCCTCATGGGTAAATGCCCAGCCGAACAGGCGTGACCCAAAGCAGGGCCACTGAGGCCTGAAAGCCTGCTACAAGTCTAAGGCACCTCCTGTTGGGGACCAATACATAGCAAAAGGGCAGAAGGGGCCCAGAATGTCTGGAAGGAAAAGAGCAAAATCAGAATCAAAGCTGCCATTGTTAACCTCATCATGGCTCTCTCACCCACATCTGTGTCAACCAGTCCAGGACCAAGAAGCAAGTGCAGCTGCTCCACATGTCTCTCTGCTCCATGTGCATCCTCCAGGCTTCCTCATTGTTCTCCATCCTGCTTCCTTCCTTTCCCAGTCTCTTCTCCAGCTTCTCCTCCTCCCTGCTCAGCTCCACCCTCCCTTGGGTGGGGCAGGGAACCTGGAACCTCCCCTTTCCCTGGGGACCACCCGGTTACAGATATTCGTTACTTCTCAGGGATAATTGCCTGGATCTTATATAATGTTACTATACAATGTTACATCAATAAAAATAAAAATTTTTTTTTTTGAAAAGCATCTGTGAACTCTTGGTTTTACACTCTTCCAATCTAAAGTGAGAGAGTAATCTTACTCTTTCATTTTTCCTAAAGAAAAAAATGCTTGAAGTTGAGGATTCAGGCAAAGATATGTTAAGAATAGAAATTTCTATCAAACATACTCATCACTAGATGTTTGGTTTCATTGTTTTTCCAAACCAGAACCTTTTCTTTTTAACCTGTACCAACTTCCAAAGCCTCCCCTCTTCATCTTCACAGATATTTTCCAGCACACAATACAGGACTGATGGCTTCAGATTGGACTCTTTTTCTTGCCCCCAAAAGGTTTTTATAAAATCCTATGATGTGAAGAAAGCATATTTATATGTGTAACAGGGTGGTCCCCAGAAAAGGGGAGGTTCCCTGTCCCACCCAAGAGAGGGTGGAGCTGAGCAGGGAAGAGAAGAAGAGGAGACTGGGGAAGGAAGGAAGCAGGACGGAGAGAAAGAAAAAGGCCTGGAGAGGCACATGGAGCAAAGACATGTGAAGAAGCTGTACTTGCTTCCTGGCCTTGAACTGGTTGAAACAGATGTGGGTGAGAGACCTGAGGGGAGGTTAACAATGGCAGCTTTTATCTTGATTTTGCTCTTTTCCTTTCAGACTTGCCTGGCTATTTCTGACCCTTTCTATGGGTCCCCGCCAGGAGATGCTTTAGACTTGCAAGGTTTTAGGCCCCAGAGGCCCTGCTTTGGGCCAAGCCTATTTGGCTGGACATTTACCCACGAGGGGGTGGGTAACTTTGGATGCTTGATTTGCAAACTTTATTCTCTGTCTTTTCTGTATTGCACACTAATTATATTAATGTTCCTTTCCATTAAAAGTCTTATGCACTAGAGTATGTTTTGTCTTGATGCAGCAGGTGGCAGAACCTATTTAGAGTGGGCAGGTTTGGGGATTCTGGGGTGCCCCTCTCCCTGTCCTGTAACATATGAAGAAATAGTTGTCAAGGTTACCACTTCCTTGTCTTAAATGTTGTAATGCAGGGAAGGAGCAGATGCTCTAGTTTTACCAGAGGGAAAGTTTTTAAACTGCTGTAGTTTGTACTGATCTGATTCATGTGTCATCTGGTGCTTCGCCGTAAGTCGTACCTGGACATGGTGCTCAATCACTGGATGAGACTCCCGGTGGGACTCGCTGTGAAGACCAGTTAAGAAACAGATCTGGCAGATGTCAAAGTTGAGGCACTTCAGACAGCGGTATCTGCCAATTGGAGTGGAGAAACACCCTGTCAGTGGTGAGCAGGCAGGGCCAAGTGTTGGTACAGTGAGTCCCCTTTGGAGTTCTTTAAGGTCAAGTATTGTTATTCTTCTCCTTTTACAGGTGAAGAAAGTGAACTTAAGAGAATAAGCAACTTGCAAAAAGTTACACAGCTCTTTATTAAGTACTAGAGGTAGTTTTAAACTCAGGGAAAAACTCTGAAGGAACAGTCTGTTATTTTAACTATTACCCTAGACCACCAAGGAAGGAGGCTTGGTTTTGAATTCACACACACTAATGTGTATCTTCCCCCAGTACTCAGATATTCCTTTTCTTGTTCTGTTCTTCCTTGCCCTTCTTCTTCTTCTTCTTCTTCTTCTTTTTTTAAACTAGAAGCTCCTTGTCCTTGCTCTGCTTAAATTTTTGTAGACAAAACGTAGAAAGCCAGGCAAGACTGGCTGAGACAAAGATGGAGGTGGAAGAAGATGAGGGTTAAGCCACAACCTGTAGACCATAGTAAAAAAGCACGCTTACCAGCACCGTGACAGAGCTATCTGGTCAGGACCAACCTTGGAAGAAAAAGTGTTGTGAATGAGTGAATGAATGCTGTTCCTGCTGTTCCTTCTCCCCTGCCTATTTCTCTGAATCTTGCTGATGCCGACTCTTTAAATTCGATTCTTTAACGTGGCCCCTTCCCCTTCCTCAGTTCAGGGATAAGGCCTTCAGAGAATGAACTCCTTTATCCAACTCCAACAGATAAAAGCCTTTGTTGCTTGAATTCATGTATGGGAATGATGGAGAATAAGAATAGAAAAACTGGAAAGGAGGTGCCACAAGACCAGAAACCTGGCCCACACAATGCCAAGAGCTGGAGGTGGGGATAGAAGGGATTAGCATAGCCATTGACACAGCTATAGGAATTAAGACCTCTAGGCACCAATGCCTAAATCATGAAGCAGAGACCCAAGCAGGTATCAGACTGCTGTAGGGGGTGTCTGGAGCTCAGACCTGAAGGTGAAGATATATAGATGGAGACCATTATAGAAATCTGGCCCCTTTCAAATTCTTTAAAAAAAAAAAAAAGATTTACTTATTTATACATAAAGAACTGGGGTACAGGCCAGAGATGCAGGGGGTGAGAGGATTCACCAGACACAGAGTGGGGAACAGAACAGGCAGACTGATGAAATACACCACTGAGGGGAGCAGCGGGCGAGACAGGAGAGGTCTGCTGCACCATGTGGGTTTCTCTCTGGCAGGCTGGGGATCAAACTCATGCTATAAAGGGTGCGGATTGCTTCATAGCGCAGTGCTTATCCCCTTGCGCCACCAGGGAGGACCCCTTTCAAATTCTATATAGTGTATTCAAAGTCAACAACAAACAAACCACTGTGAAGGAGTGAGCCCCTCCCAAAGAGAAGGCTTTATCAGTACAATCTCTGCACTGACCAGGAGCAGCAGTCCTTCTGCCCACCTGTACCTATGCAGGTGCTCCCTTACACCAACTCTCCCTCTGCAGGGCAGCAGCCTTCCTGCCTGCCTGTGACCTGTACCATGCCAGGTACAGGTCCTCACTGACCTTCCTCAGCAGAGGCTGCGCTCCTCAAGGCCGCCCGCCTGCAACCATGCAGGCCTCTCAGCAAACCTGTCCCTTTCAGGGCAGCTCTTCCTGCCCACTGTGTCTATGCAAGTGTCCTTTATTCTTCTCTCCCTTTTATAATAAACCTGCCCTTTTGCTGTATAATTAACAGCTCTGTGTCGTGGACAAACTCACCTGAAAACTCACTGATGCTGGTGAAAGGGAAGCTCTGGACCCGCTCTCCAAACCCAACAACAAAAACATCAGTTCCAGGTAAGTCTGGGTGTTGAATGGGTAAAAGCACTTCATTGGTTGATAACACTTGCACTCACCACTGTTCAACTAACCTTAGTGGAATAAAGTTAAATGACCATGTGGTTTCTTCATGAAGAAAACGACACTAGTCAGCCATGCTCGCTTGGCCTTGGGAAGTTTTCACAATGCTTTGGAAATTATTGAATATGTGTAACCAGAACAACGTTCACTTTTACATGAAATGTGTAGAATAACAAAGTATTTTTGATGAACCACCTGTACTGGCTACTTTTTCCAGCATTACCCTAGGGTTAGACTTGACTTTTTTTGGTAAAGATTTATTTATTTATTTATGCAAGCACTGGGTACAGTCAGAAGCACGGGAGGGTGAGAGAATTCACTGAGCCAGAGCGGGGAGCAGAGCAGGCAGAAGGATCGAAGTACACTGCTGAGGGGAGCAGTGGGTGGCAGGAGAGGTCTGCACGCCATGTGGGACCCTCCTCCGGTGGTCCGGGAGCAGCCAGGGATCGAACCGGCGTTGCAGAAGCTGCAGGCAGCTTTGCAACCCAGCGCTCAACCGCTGCGCCACCGGGGAGGCCTCAGAATTGACTTTTTTGGACACTATGCTGAATTAGTTCTTTGAATTAATTTCTCTATGTTCCAAAACTACTTACGGGTAGTAGTTTGAAAAATGGGGTAGTGTGATCATCTGTTGTTGATGCCTTTACCAAAGAGGATCAAGTGTTTTTCCCCCCCAATCTCTTGTCAGCCTTACATGGCTGTTAGCACAGAGTGACATGCACTGCTGAATTTAACACTCAGCATAGGAAGGCTTCTGCTCTTTGTACTTTCTCTCACTTTTGAAGTTCAAGCCTCTGTCCTCTTCCTGCTACCTCCTGACCAGCGGGTACATCTGCTTTATGCTGGCTCTATTAATCTCACTAAAACTAAAAGACCTGAGGCTATTGCTGGAGTTTTCTGAGAGCCAAAACCACAAATTAAGGCTAGGATTGTAATACATTCAAGCAATTTCCAAGACTGAAGGCCATGGCTAAAAGAAGCCTAAGATATCAATTACCCTAGCCTTCCTCATTTTACTTATAAAGAAACTGAATTCCAGTGAGGTTAAAGGCATTTCCCCAGGTCACCAGCTATCTGCACATAAGAGGTATGAATTTTGCCTGGGGCATTGAGGAGGAAGGGCAGTTGGCATGGAGGCATTTCTGAGAGGAAGCTTAGTCTCATTCTCAATAGAGAGGAATATAACCTAAAACTTAAAGTGTAACAATTCACGCCCTCTACTTTCCCAGTTTTTTTTTTAAATAAAAGTTTTATTTATTTATGCATACAAGAACTGGGGTACAGGCCAGAGGTGTGGGGAATGAGAGGATTCACCAGAGACAGAGCGGGGAACAGAACAGGCAGATTGAAATACACTGCTGAGGGGAGCAGTGGGTGAGTCAGGAGAGGTCTGCTGCGACATGTGGGTTGCTCCTTGGCCGGCCTGGGATTGACTGGTGCTGTAGTGGCTGGCAGTAGCTTGATAGCACTGTCTTTAACCATTGGGCCACCCCCTGCTTTCCCAGTTTTTCAAAGTGACCTGAGAAAGTCATTCAAACTCTGTTTTGGCTTTTTATAAAACAGGAATAACACGGCTTTGTCCATACATAATAATTTTGAAAAAAATACTTCAGCATAGCAGTTGTGTTTTAAATAATTGCAAAGTGGATCTTATAGCTGGCCCAGTGCAGGATGCATTGTAAAGTGTCCAATACTTGTTTGGTGGTTAAATTGTAACAGGGTGGTCCCCAGGAAAGGGGGAGGTTCCCTGCCCCTCCCAAGGGAGGGTGGAGCTGAGCAGGAAGAGGAGAAGCTGCAGAAGAGACTGAGGGAGGAAGGAAGCAGGATGGAGCCAGGAGACTTGGAGGAGGCACATGGAGCCTAGAGACACGTGAAGAAACTGCGCTTGTCTTTTGGTCGTGGACGGGGTGACACAGATGTGGGTGAGACCCGTGGGGAGGTGACAATGGCAGCTTTTATCTTGATGTTGATTTTGCTCTTTTCCTTCCAGGTTTGTCCGGTTGTTTGTGACCCTTTTCTGTGGGTCCCCACTGGAAGATGCTTTAGACTTGTGGCAGGCTTTGGGGCCTTGTTCTGGGCCAATCCCATATGGATGGACTTTTACCCACGAGGGGACGGGTAACTTTGGGTGCTTCATTTTGAAACTAGACTCTTTGCCTTACCTGTATTGTTTCCTAGTTTTATTAAAGTTCCTTCCCATTAAAGTCTTATATGTTTTGTGCTGATGCGGCGGATGGCAGAACCCATTTAGAATAGGCAGGTTTGCGGGGTTTGGGCTGCCCCTCTCCCTGTCCTATAACAAAATGATTATAATATGTGAACGACATGGTAAATAATATTCACGTTCCTCCACTATGCAATATGAAAATGTGTTTTCTTTTTCCATTGAAGTATGGAGATTTCTTTGGTTCGACATGCTCGGTGTCCAACAGTCTTATCCATTCGTATGTTTTATTGCTTAAAGTTCTGTTCTAGTAAAAGAGTTTTTCATGAAAAAGTTTTTTTCATGAAAAATTTGGCTGTGTCCTCAGAATTCTCTGCACATCGGAACTATTTTCTTAGCAAAATTAAAAATGGATTTCTAGATTGTTGTGGACCCATCAGAACTATTTCATATCTGTGCGGGCAAATTTAAGGTGTGGGTTAGTCAAGATCAAAATACAGGCAGGAAAGAAGAGAAATTAAGTAGGAGCCAAGGGCTCAGTCGAGGCCTTTTTCCTCCTGGCCCTGCTGAGCACCCTGCCTTTGACTTGTTAGCTGCCTGTATATCCCAGCACCCACCACCAAATCTCCCCATATCTTCACTTATTTTATTTTTTTAAGATTTATTTATTCATGCATACAAGAACTGGGCCAAGAACTGGGCCAGAGGGTGAGAGGATTCACCAGAGACAAAGCGGGGAACAGGCAGACTGATGAAATACACTGCTGAGGGGAGCAGCAGGAGAGGCAGGACAGACCTGCTGCGCCATGTGGGTATCTCCCCAGCAGGGGGAGATGGAACCTGCACTACCGAGGCAATGGACAGCTTCACAGCTCTGTGCTCAACCACCTGCGCCAACAGGAGAGGCCCTCTTCACTTGTTTTATTGATGGGAGGCAGCAACATCCTTTTTTTAAAATGGGATTTTGACAGTCACCCTGAAAGCTGTGCAAAGTCCTGAATCTTCCTACCTTCAAACCTAGTTTTCATATCTATCTTTTTTTTTTTTTTTTTTTTTTTTTGGTGGAGAGACATCTGACCGGAGCGTCTCCTATAAAACTGGATCATTACTTTTGGGTCCGAACAGTGTTGCCGACACTAGGGGGCAGCATCGCATCGTCGTTGCTAAGTAGAACCGCTATTCAATCTGCCACCTGCTGCCACTTGTTAACCACGTGAACCTAAGCATGCTCAGGTTCTCTGAAAATTAGGGGTAATAATATCACCTTCTGGGGCGATTTTAACAAGTCTTAAGTGAAATAATTTAGATGACTCACTCTGTCTACTCTTGTTTAATTCTTAATACATGTAAACTATTATTTTTCTCACTCTCATCATTATGGATGACTTCAAAGTGTTTTGAATGTCTTTTGTAACAAAAGGCAAACTGTAGGGTAAGGTAAAAAGTATCAGGCTTTTCTGCCCTCCGCCATTAGGATAGACGAGGGAACCCTGCGGTCCTGAATGCATGCCTGATGGCGGGCACCTGAAATGGGTACACCTGGGTTGAGAGACTGAGTTTATAAGAGCAGAAACTGTGAGAGAGAAGCAGAGAAGCCGAGAGCAGAGAAGCAGAGAGAACACTGGAGAGCCCAGGAAGAGTGAAGACTTGCTGGGGGCTGGGAGGCCTGCCAACCTCCTGGCCCCCCCAGCACCCATACCTGCCATGTACTGGGTAAATCCCAATAAAAGCCTGCAAAAGCCACTGAGGGCTCCAGGACTCCTCCTTTACCCGGTCTGCTGGATCAGAAAACCTGCTCTGTGGTCTTCCTGCCCCTACACAAACTTTCTCATCTTTAGAGGAATGAAAATGTCTACTGGTTAGACTATATAGCAGTGGAAGAACTTAATATTCCATTAATTATTGAAAATCAAATACTATTTATTATCAGCCAAGATCCCTCATGCAGAAAATTATTTACCAAAAAAAAAAAAAATCACTTGAGTTCCAGATGTGTGCAAAAAACTACAAAAGAAATCTGGAGAGAAACAGCTCCAGAAATACCAACAAGTCACTGTACCTCGGTCCAGTGATCGGGAATATCCTACAGATTCTACACCGAACAGGGTGAGTGGCCATTTCAGTGGCTGATAATTGGTAGCAGGTCGGGAGCCACAGAAGGATGGGAGGCTCAGTCTGTAACCAAGATAAGAATTTTTCTTCTTTGATTGCTGGGCTCAACACCTGTAAAACAATGACACCCTTAGAAGTGCTTCTTGACATGACTTTCGTCTCTAGTTTAGATCAAGATGCATTTTCTTTTCTGACTCTGTTTCTTGGCAGTTCTGCCAAAGAAGTTTTATCACATGTAAAAGTGAGTCTACCTCCTCAATTAGGTTGTTTGCAAAGCTATGTGGAGTAATAGGTCTGTAATCTAAATCAGTCAGCAACTGTGCCTACCCCCATCTCTCAGGGACATTTACAGGCACTCACCCCTTGGAAACAGCTGCGAATAGCGCTTTCCACAGAACACAAAGCCCGACTCTCCCCTACCACAGTTGGGATCTGCAAGAGTCGAGACATCAGCTGTTAGGAAAATAGAGAATTATGTGGCCACAGGAGTCAGCATATCTGAGTGATGGTGATTTACACTTGGGGGGTCGTGAGTTTTTGGGGTCTGAGTGTGGATGAACTCTCAGTGCATGAATACAAGCAAAGGAAAGAAATGTGTGGGCTTTGCAGGTTGGTTGAGTGGGGACAATAGACGAACAAGTGTGAAGAAGTAGGTGGGAATGGGTGAGAAGAAAGTGTGGTAATTGGGTCAACACAGGAACAGCTATCATTGTTCACTTTTGATGATCCATTCAAATGATTTTCACCTTTCTTTGCTTTTATTTTCCTATGAGTTATATGTAACAATGATATGGTGGTAAACTTTAGAATATTTTTAGGAAAAACCTCTCAAACAGGTCATGTAATCTTATTTTAACAAATGCCAATTTCTGAGGCAGGGCAGTAATTATCTTTGTTTAAAGTAAAGTAAGCAGTGATTGAGATTTGATATTTTGTTAAGGTAAAAAGAAAAAGGGATATGGAAAGAACTGAATTGCCCGTTGATGTTGAAAAGATTTAGAAAATATGGCATAGGTATACAGTGGTATACTACTCAGTTATAAAAAATGAAGTCTTGCCACTAGTGACAGTATGGATGGACTGTGAAGGGATTATGCTAAGTGAAGAAAACCAGAAAGAGAAAGACAAACACTGTATGATTTAATCATGTGGGAGAGGGGAAACTAAGCAAAAGAACAAACAAAACAAAAACAACAGATTGGAAGTTACTAGAAGGGAAGAAGGTTGGGAGTAGAGGGAGACTAAGTCAGATAAGGGGGTCAACTGTGCGGTGATCGTGATGCAGCGAATACTCATCTCAAATTATGACTCTATACACCTGAAACTTAGGTAATGTGTTTTAAACCAATGTTACCCCAGTAAACATTTATTTTTAAAGACGCGAGTTAGTTGAGCTCTCATTCCAAAGCTCTTGTTCTGCTGAGGATGTTGACAAAGTCTTGTCACTGCCTAACCTTACATCTAGTCTAATGACTCAATCTGCACGTCACTTGTGATTTCCAATCACAGTCACCATATGGAGTTTAACTAAAGGATTAGGAATCCTTTGTGACTGTCAAGATGGCCAGGGATCTGGCTCTGACATTATCTTTCTGCACAGATCCATGTACCTGTCACCTCCATTAACGCCCATTTGGTGGTGGGTCCCAGCTCACGTCAGATGTGGTGTAAGCATGGGCCTTCAGCGGGCACTGCCTGCAAGCGCAGAAGTAATTTCAAAGCTCCCCCCTGCTGAGTCCATCAACTCGAATAAACATTCTTCTAATCAGGAAAGTGGCACTTAGAACCACTTTGCTGACAATTAGCCAGGCAGAAGTCAACAAACATTTGCGTAATAGTGGATGGCATGTGCTTTAAATGGATAATAACCCCGTTACCAGCTGAATGTAAGTAACTATTTCCTACATTGTTTGGCCCTTGTCTGAAAAAAACAACTCATTACCCATACTCTGGCCTGAGTGTTGGTACACTAACTGGACTACTTACTTAGATGGTCTCCTTGAGCCCTTGGAAAGGGGTTTAACCTTATTTGCAAAATAAGGGATGTGGATCAGATGGGACAGACTTGCCAGCTCTGCTTCTGACACCAGTGAAGAGAAAATTCACTCTGTGGTGGGTTTTAACCTACATTTTTAGCTTTAAGTGTGTGCATAAAGATTTTGTAGATTAATTTGACTAATTTCTTGCAGGTGTTCTGTGGAAGCAGGCCGTGACTAGATGGCATGCTGGTACAGGCAGAGCACCACTTGAAATTATCACTCTCCATGATAATTAGGATTTGGGGAGGAGGAGTTTGAATTACATAGTGGGGCTTAGAGTTTTCTATGGGAATCCATCACTGAGTTCTTAATGGAAGGTAATGGGATGGTAATTTGTTATGCAAATCTATACCTTCCTAACAGCTTCCTAGGAACATGCTAATGGGGCGGAGTGGGTGGACAGAGGAGAGAGAGGCAGCACTGTGGGAGCTGCCACTTCAGCCACCCATTAGCCTTAGTTATGCCTGGCACAAAGGCAGGGCTTTAGGGCCTGTTGGATGGGGTGCCGGCTTGGAGCCAGATGTAGCAGTCAGGCAGAGAGTACAAGCAATTCTATGGAAGGAAAATGCCCTTCAGTCCATCTCCTTCCTTCCATCCGTCTTCTGAATACACTGTCCTACAAGTCTGATTGCATAAGTGAGTGGACAGCTTTTCCCACTCTCCCCAGATCTCCACTGAGCCCTGCGACGCAGGGACTGTGGGGAAGCACCTTTGTTACGGTAGCACCTGTGTTAACGGAGAGTAAGCCGAACACTTGGTAATAGGACCTGTGTGTTCTCGCAACCACCTAACTGGGCCTGGTGCTTTCAACTTATAAAACAATTTAAAATTGTCACTCCACCTACAAAATATAAACATCTAAGTATTGTTTGGAATTTCCAGAATAAATTAAATGTTAATTATTGTGACTATATGAACATAAAATATCAAGACCAAATCAAAGCAAAACTCCCTGTTGTAGAGTTCTGATAATTTTCCCCCTAACTCCATCCTCCCTTCTCTGAAGGATGCAGGAATGTGGCACCCTACACTATGCCCCTTTAGTATTGGAATAATTTGAGGTAAAGGCCACTGAGAACCAGCAGGTGCAGGAAAGGCTCTAAAAATGGCATAGGTTTTCCTTTTGTAAAGGAAATTTGCATTTGTCAAAGGTGTCTGCTTTCTATCAGGAAGAGGAGGCACTTAAATTCTGCATAACAAATCTTACCGCAGGGCCTCTGTTCACCATTTTTTTTTCTGGTCACCTATTATAACTTGCCTCCCCCTAGAAGCCCCTGGTCTCTCTTTTCTTTTGGTGGATGAGCTTGAACCTAGCCATCCCTTTGCGTCACTCATCTCAGGTGCTTCTCCTGTGTTGGGGCCATGTACACGTTAATAAACTCTTGTTTGTCTTTCCCTTGTTAACCTGTCTTGCCAGTCCAATTTACAGGGTCCCAGGCCAAGAATATAAGATGGGCAGAGGGAAAAAAATTGTTTTTCCTTCCTTATAGTCTAGATCCAGAAGAAAAATGACAGAAACTGCTATGACTTTACAGTGCAGGAAACCTAGTTTGGGGATTTTACAGAGTCTGGAAGATAGGAACATCCTCAACTTAGGGGTAGAGATACAGTGTGACAGCAGCCACTCACAGCGCAATCTGGAGCCTGCTGGATCCACACCCAAGTTCCTCCTTGGTTCCATCATTTTAAGTCATTTTAACATATAACAAAACATTTACTTAAAGAAGGTTAAATTCCCTTGCCTAGTAAGGGTAATAATGTAAAATTTGCACATTCTGAAAGTGCAGTAAATGATGGAAATCTTAGCTATTCAGCATCTCATTTCATCTATGCTTTCATTAAGCTTTTGTTGAAGGTCTAGTGTCAAGTACTTTTCATGCTCCTGGAGACGTATACATGAATGAGATAGAGCACCTGCCCTTCAGAAGCTGTCTGGGGAAGAAGGCATGTACCTAGGTAATCATTGCAGTGAAATCTGACAGGTGTTATGACAAAGTTATGCACAAGGAGTTAAAGAAACTTTTAGTGAGGAAGTTATTGATATTTTGGAGGATCGTGACAGTAGACAGTGTCAAGTGAGCAGTAGGCAGTGGCGTTGCAGACAGACGGTGTAGAGTTGGAGAACTTGGTGAGTGTCAGGCATGATCAGGATATTGGTAAGCAAGAACAAAAAAGGTGGAGGGAGTATAAGGAAAACAGAATAAGCAGAAGAAATCACTAGAGATCTTAACAAAGGATATCATCATAACTGATCTGTCTTTAGACTATTTTACAACTCCATGGAGATTGAAATTAATGTGTAGAAGACTGACCAAAATATAAATAATTATAATTTAAATTTATAGACATACGAATAAGTTCTGTCCTAGAGAGGGACAACTCTCCTCTTCCCCCTAAAGTCAGTCTTACATACACCTGCAAATTCATTTTAATATTTCTAATCTATCAGTTTGTTCTTTGGTTACTTCGTTCAACTAGTTGTAACAACTTACTGGTGCCCTCTTTTTTTTTAAAAAAAAAATATTTATTTATGCATACAAGAGCTGGGTATAGGACAGAGGCCTGGAGGAGGAGGGTGAGAGGATTTACCAGAGACAGAGTGGGGAGCAGAATAGGCTGGTCTACTGAAATACACTGCCGAGGGGAGCAGCAGGTGAGACAGGAGAGATTTGCTGGGCCATGTGGGTTAGCTCCCTGGTTAGGGATGGAAATCATGCAGCAGTGGCTGCCGATAACTTCATAGTGCTGAGACTTAACCCCTTGCTCCACCAAGGAGTACTGGTGCCCCCTTTTAGTTATAAATAAATGTTGTATATGTGCTGCCGAAGTGATCACCAAATAAATATTTGGGCACATATTCATTTTATGTCTGAGGTTTTATATGGCATTACTTTCTTTTGAAAGGGTGGGGTCAAATCATGAAACCTTTACTTATGATGCTAAGGAGTGTAGGCTTCATTGTATAGGCATAAATGACCAATGAAGGATTTTAAACAGGTGGGAGACATTTGCATTTTGCAAAAGTCACTGGACTGCTGTGTGGAGGAAGAGTTGGAGAGAGAAGAGATTTGGGTTGATGAAACCAGTGAGGGAGCAGTGCAATGAACCAGACCTCCACTCAGATAATAGTAGGGGCTCTAGAGGAGAGGGGGTACCCAGATAACTAGCTAATAAGTTTAGGATTCTTGAGTATTGGGCATTTACCTGTTGTAGATCTGTTAGGAGATTTCTCAAAGCCTTTCGGGTCATGCGGGCCCCGGAATCATAACCTCCCCTGTTATTTTCTGCATAGAGCTGAAAAAGAACTAGACATAGGAATCTTTCAATGGAATTCATGCAATATCTCCTTGAAGAGTATGTGCCTTGAATTCTAAACGGTTTACTTGTGGATATGAAGGGAAAAGAGGTGAAAATTACATTTATGGTTAGTGACTTGATAATTTGAAGGCTTCACTTGACCACTCATAAAAGCCCACTCACATTTCCATCTCTTGATAACTCAGCACATGGATGACGAGAACATGAGGTTGATAAAGGGTGTTAAGAGCCAAGCCCCAGTCTTTAGTGAAATAATAACTATGGGTATCTGAATTATTTCTGCACAAATATAGATCAAGGACAACCAAGTTATAAGTAATTAGAAGGTATGGGTCACTTCCTTGAAAAGTCCCAAGTCATGCTAAGCATGTGCTGAAAAACAGGGCCTAGGTTCTGGGGGGATATCGGGGAGCAGGATGGAGCAAGGGGGTGAAGAAGATGATGTGCAGGAGATGTGGAAGCCACTACATTTCAGACACTTGAAACTCCAAACATTACCTCTGTACTTAGCGAGAGGGCTGTCGCTTGCGAGGGCCATCAGGGCTGCGGCGGCAGGCACCCGCTTGAGAAAACCCGTTCCTGTGCTGTGTGGCAACCAAATGGAGACAAGCATGGGATAGGCAGGGTTATTCTTGGGGATGCTCTTTATAAAAACCATCAGTCATAATGCATGTTTCTGACATGGTGTTACAAGTTCTTGCTTTCCCAGGTCTGTTTTCCTATATCCAGAATTTAACAGAACTAGGAATTGAATAAAAACACTTGATCATTCATTCCATTGTTCATTCATTCACCTGTTAGGAATATTTATCAGATGTTAGGGACTGAGCCAGGCCCTGAGATTATAGGGGTCACTGTGTCTTCAGAGGCCGTAGACTCACTTCCCTGTGACTCAGATGCCTGAAAATCAAACAACAGAGACAAAGACCAAAAAGCAGGCTAAAGGAGCCAATGTTTATATAAAAAAATCCCCAGCTCATAAGTGCTCACTCAGAGCCTATCCTTTGCCCACTCACTGGCTGTGTTTTCTTCAAACCTACAAACCAATGTGCCCAAACAGGAGGATTATCAGAGGCAGGTGCTGATGTTATGTCAGTCACAACAAAAAGAGTATAACAAGTTATTTAAGGAGGCTAAAATCATGGAAAAATAACTCAAGAAATGTTTATTTATCATTGTGCAATGAAAGTAAATAAATAACAAGCTGAAAATGAAAATACTGTAAGGAGTTGCCAGATGGTTAAGCTGTGGTTGCCCTCTGGGGGCAGACTTTTGGGGTGATACTTCTTTTTCTTTACTCTTTGCATTTTCCAAAGGTTTTCTATTCATGGTGACTTTTTTCCTGGTTGACACTCAATTTTATTAAAACTTAACTTATTACTTACACAATGTCTAGTTCAAGGATGAAATGAAAATGTCTGAAGCAAAACAGGAAAAGCATTATTTCTCAAAGCAATGTGATTTTTTTTCAGTGCTGACTAGTCCTTGAAGCTTTACTCTACAAGTGGGATGGGAAATGTGTCCACATTCCTCTGGACTCTTTTGATGCAGAAAAGGGAGATCTAGCAGAATCTGCCCTTCCAGATTATGCCCTTCCCTGTTCAAATGTTGGTCATCCCCAGTGCAAAGGACAATTTCTGAATTGTACCAACAAGCTGCTTTGAGACATCCATGCAGATGGCAAGCTGGCAGGTAAACTAGAACTTCAGGTCTGAGCAGTGGATTTGAAGTTGTGGATTTGGGTTGTGACCAGGACACCTGCAATGCTCATGGGCTCCATTACCATGTAAACAAGAATTAAAACACCTAAAATAAAAAGGACTTGAGTTGTTCCTAAGTCATTAAAATAGAGCATACATTAGGTTATAAGAAGAACCCACATGGGCCTCCCCTGGCAGTGCAGCATTTGAGCGCTGGGTTACGAGGCTGCCCGCAGTCTCTGCAGTGCCAGTTTGATCCCTGGCCACTGGCGAGGGTCCCACAAAAAAAAAAAAAAAAAAAAAAAGAAGGACCCACAGCCTAAAAATGCTACTACTTCACACCATTGATTTTAGGGATAATGGGATTTCTGCTTTTTTAACTTAGGGGGAAAAGTCAGCTTCTAAACATTTCCCTTTCACATTGTACAGGATAGTTGTACAGGTCTTGCAAATAAACAGGAGGGGGAGACAAAATATATTCTGAGAAAAGGTAACATAAATAAAACATTTTAGTCAAACCACCAAAAATGAAGCCATTTGTTCATTATGACTTTTTTTAAAAAAATCCACTGGAAAGAATAAGGCCTAGTGGGTCAAGAGCACATAAGGTAAACCACTGAAGTGGGGTAGAGGAATGGTAGACACCACAGCTCAGTGAAAAACACTAGCACACGCATACACACATACCACCAGTGACTCTAGAACACACAACCAAGCCTCTGAAGTGGTCTAAACTTGTATATAGTGCAATGAACTAAAGCTTATGTGCCCTCAATATATATATATATATATATATATATATATATATACATATTTATATAAATATATATAAATAAAAAGATATATTTATAAATATAAATATATATTTATATAAATATTATATATATATTTAGAAATCCTTATACCCAGCATACGGGAATTTGGAGATGGGTCTTTGGAAGGTGATCAGAATGGAGTCATAAACTGGATTGGTGCCTTATGCATAGGACACCCCAGAGAGCTTCCTCAGCCTTTCTGTCATGTGAGGACACAGCAAGAAGAGGATCCTTCAGGGACCCTGAAGCCAAACCTCACCAGACACCAAATCCATACTTTGCCCTTGGACTCCCCCTTGAAATTTCAGCCTTCAGAAGTGTGAGAAATAATGTTGTTTAAGCCCCAGCCCATGATATTTTTGTCACAGTAGCCCAAATGGACTGAGACAATAGCTCAGTTATCCATCACATGTTTTTCAACCTTGCTCCACCTAAGGAACAAAACAAAACAAAAACTTTAAGTTGGCTGTAAAGAAATGAGCAAAGGAATAAGCTTCTAGGGACTCAAGAAAGGTGTAATTTTTTCATTTGTAAATGTGTATGATCGCCTGAACAAAAGGTGTGCATAGTTCTCTAGAGTGAAAACAAACTTGTATGAATGAAAAGTACTGTGGATTTTTCACTCTGCTGCTTTCTGTCAATCATTTATATAATGTAGTTGTTGAGTATGTACTTCTTCCTTCCCTTCTTAAAAGAGTAATGCATTTGTGGAAAACAAAAAAGCCTTCTTACATATCAGATCTTAAGTAAATATTAGACAACACCAAAAGTCAATGGCCAGCAGTAACAAAACACTGCCTTGGAAGTCACGGCATCACCTGACACCCTCACCTGTCATACATGGCTGTGAGAAGACTCAGGGTGAGTTCCGACGCTCTGGGATGCACCTGTCCTGGCTTCTCCACCCCAGCTTGCATGAAAAGTTCCTCGAGCACCTGTAAAAGCTGCTGTGCTGAGAGGCAGCCCGCTTTTGCTTCCCAGAGACTTTGATCGAGCAGGAAGCGTTGGATGAGAGAACTGTCAATCAAGTCCACTGTGGGGAACAGATGAAGATGGAGTCTTATTTTACATGGGGACAAAGGACTTCCAATCAAGCAAATGTCATCTAGTGCTTAATGAAGTCTGTCATTTGATGGCACAACTTTCTTCCAAGAGAATGAGACATGGACACTATTTGGACACATATCTCATGTGTAACTCAGGCATTACTATTCTGAGTGGTTTTGACTTTGAAAAAGCATTATCTGTTAGTAAAGCACATTTGAAACTTTATTCCCACTATAATTCTAGATTGTTGCTTTATGAAATGAAGTGGAAAGGGAAAGAAGTGAGACACTTGAAAAATAGCCTTCCAATGAAACTAGGTCACAGTGAGACAAAGTTGGAGGAAACATTTTTATACTCTGTAAGTGGATTGAGCAAATTTACCTTTCATGTTCAAATATAGTTTTTCCTCTCTGCAGGAAAACAGTTTGTCTGTTAAAATGCAATGGCCTTGGTTAAACACCCCGGTAATCTTTATAAAAGAGAAGTTACTGAATCATCGGACTTCAGACTCCACCCTCGCCTCAATAACAATTCTTTTTCAATCTTATTTCCATCAGTAGTATGACTAGGTAAAACACTTAATAAAACTAAAGTTGTTTACAAAAAATAATGGTTTATTTCTTATATATTTATGTTTACTACCTCTTAAAAATTTTACAAGGCAATGAATATAAGGGAGAATGAAATAGAACTAAAGCTATGGTTTCTTGCAGACAGAAGATGGCAGACAAAATTAATAAACACCCACTTGTTCCATCTGAAAGACGAGGATGTCAGTGGCACGGAGCTGCTGGCATGTAAAAGGCTTCAGCCAGTGAAATGATAAAACCCTGCACTTTTCTCCACTTCGTAAATCAACCTCACAGATAAGAAATCTAGCAAGTATAATAAAAATTTTTATTTGTTCTCTGATACTGCTTTTCAGGGCAAATTCTAAAGAAGTGAGCAGTAGGTTTTGGGATATGACTTTAATAAAAACCTGGCTGCAGGTGGTGGAAGCTGAAAACTCTTTTATCGTTAATCAATCGCAAAACCTATCACCTCAGCCTGGCAAGCTGTACACGGGACGTTCTTGTCTTCTGCTGAGAGTTCTGTATTACAGCAAAACAGATAATAGTGGTGTCCATTAATCTCACCACAAGATTTATGCAGTGATGCGCTCCAGCTCCTGCGGCCCAGAGCTCATGTTATGTTTTAACTCAGTGTTTGAAAGGGTTTTTTGGGTTTGTTTTCAAATTTTTGTTTGGACATCTATTCCAGGTAGAACTTTGCAACTCCTGATTTTGCATATTGCTGCAGTTTCCCACAAGGGTTATTTATATTCACATTTCTGATGTCAGGCATAATAAAAAGTTCAAAAAGATATTTCCTTAAATTTGGATATACCCAGGCATTGATGATGAAGGCTTATATGGATATTGGCTGTTAACTTTCTTTCATGGAAGAAATTCTCCAGGAAAATAGCATAACTGGGGGTAAATTTCAGTGGGAATATTCTGCCTTTTGTTGAAATTTGAAATAATAAATAACAAATATAAATGAGTTTGTTTATATCAGTTATTAAAAATGAAAACTTTGTTTTATAGCCAAGAAGCTCATCTTTAAAAAAGGAGACTTAAATAAATAAATAAATAAATAAATAGACTTACTGAGAAGCAGAGTAAGGAAAACAGAAAAAGGAGTTCTCTTAAGTATTCCTAAATCTCCTTTTCCCACCTTGCTAACCCTTTCCTGCCCTATTTCACCCCCATGCACATTTTTTTTCCTTAAAGATTTATTTATTTATTTATACAAGCACTGGGTACAGTCAGAAGCGCGGGAGGGTGAGAGAATTCACCAGAGCCAGAGCAGGGAACAGAGCAGGCAGACTTGACGAAATACACTGCTGAGGGGAACAGCGGGCGGCAGGAGAGGTCTGCATGCCCCCATGCACACTTTCTAAAGCACAATTTGAAAGCCAATGGTCATTGACCGATTTGACAGATGATAAAATTTAAAAAAAAAAAATCAGCTTTCATGAGAAATGTCATATATAACATTTCCTTTAGGTCTGCTATGACAAATGTCATAAATCACTTCACATGAAGTAACTTTGTAAAAATGCAATGAACAACTTATGAGAGATCAATAACTTTAGATATGCCAAATACCTGTTGTGGTTTACAACTAGGACCGATTAATTTAAGTTTGTAGAATTTGTATAGGAGAAGCCTTTTTACTGTATTTTAGCTTATTTTGCCTAGGTAACAGTCTGGGAAAAGAAAACCATAGACCTCAATCAGATATAATTTTAATACAAAAGAGCATTTCTTAGGGAATTCTTGAGATAGTTTTAAAATTTATGGCCCATGGGTTATTCATTTGAACCTACTATTTTGCATGTTTACATAGCGATAAGAGGCGTAACTTGATAATGTAAAGTTTATGTGATAGAAAGAATACATTTTAAACTTCGATTGTAAGTACAGATGGTAAACTATTTTTTATAATTTTATTTTGTGTCTATATTGATGCCCTAAGAAGGAAACCACAATTTTTTTTTTCAGAAACCGAGTAAGTAGGAAAAGACATTAAAATTCTCATCCACAACCATTTTTTATTGTCAGACAGGGATCCTACATGTGGATACTCCCCACACCCCTTTCTCAGTTACATGGGGAAAGCACACAGGTCCAGTCTTCTGGGGTCTGGCATAAGGGAGTTTTTATCTTCTCTATGAATTTTACATCAGTTTTATATCAATGTTGTGGTTAGATTATTTCAAGAGTTCCAAGAGAGCAGTACTTACATTGGCATAGAGATTGCACTGATCGTAATTTGAAGGCTGTTCTATAAATGGAATTCTCAATACTATTAAGAGCATCTGTAAAGAAAACATGAAATATGGATAAAGGGCCAACTCATTAGATAAAACCTACATCCTAGAAAGGAATCCTAGAGATTATGTAGCTCAACTTTATGTTGCAGGGAGGAAATCAAGGTTCAATGCTCTTTTTTCTACCTGGCAACTGAAAGTATCTTAGAGCTCCAGGGGACCCCAGAGAGCACCCTCTAAATCCACCAAACTAAGGAATCCTCCAATGAGGAGAACGTCCCCATGAAGCTGTCCACTTTATTTGTATAAAAAGGAAAGGACTTTATAAAACAATAGGAAAAAAACTATACATGGAATACAAACTCTATTTTGTGAATATATCTAGTCATATGTACACATAAGTATTTTACCTTTATATGAAAATGACTCAAAAACTAATTCCTCATTTCACAAACATTTATTGAGTTCTTAATATATGACCCTCACATGAGTCCAGATCCTTGATCTAGAGCAATTAATGAATAAAAATCCTCACCCCTTAGGAGCCTCCCTGGTGGCACAAGGGGTTAAATCTCAGCACTATGAAGCTGTTGGCAGCCACTGAAGCATGAAATTGATCCCTGGCCAGGTAGCTACCCATGTGGCACAGCAGACCTCTCCTGTCTCACCCACTGCTCCCCTCAGCAGTGAATTTCAATAGATCCACCCATTCTGCTCCCCACTCTGTCTCTGGTGAATCCTCTCACATACACACACACACCTCTGACCTACACCCCAGTTCTTGTATGCATTAATAAATAAACATAAATCTTTAAAAAATAAATTTGTTTCATTGATAGTCAATTTGATTTTCATTTAAGTTGAGACATATAGCTAGCTCATAACATAGTTTTTTGATGCCTAAGACTGAAATAATGAGTCTTCATATGTAGAAAAAGCAATACCAAGAGAACATCATTGACCACTGAGCTGATACTGTATTATATAGACTTAAAATTCTTGAAAATGAGATTAGTAGATATCTTTTGAGTTTCTACTATGTGCAAATCTTGCTTCTAGAGAAAGTTATAGCTAAGTCATTATTAAAAAGCTGTAGATATTTATTAATTAATTCATTAATTTGCCATATATATACAATATCCGAGATTGGAATGTCCAGACACTATGTTAGGTACTAAGAACATTAAGATAAATCAGGAGTTCTCAGTGTCAAGGGAGAGATAAGATCCATAGTTCAATGTTTTATAATAAGGCTAAACATAGAGGAATGCAGACACAAGGAGGTAACATGAAAGCTGTCTCTTTAGAAGTGGGGAAATTTTCAGGGGATTAAATTGGAATAAAGTTCTGAGGGAATGGTGTTACAGATCTAGGGAAGACATGTGCAAAGGCACAAGGGCATGAGGGTCAAGAAGTTCAATATGGCTAGAAGGTGTAAGAGAATTAGGGGAGAAAGGACAAGGGATTGGTTGCTGTGAGTTCATTAAGGATTTGCATTCTCTTGCAAGCATCAAGGATCAATACACACTTTATAAAGCTCACTCCAATGGGCTGAGGGTGAGAATAAATGCAAGAATTTATTTCAGTGGCTCAGGTCCAGATAAGGTTGATAATGATTCAGCTAAAAGGAAACTTAATGAACTTAAAAAAAAAATAGATAACTTACAGAATGCTCTGTCCTACAATACAATAAAACTAGGAAAAAATCAGTAAAAAGATAAACACATTTGTCATTATGAAAATGTTTTAAAATTCATCTAAATGTCATGTGGTCAAAGAAGAAAACCAAGTGGAAATAAACCTTGTTTGGGGGCTGAAAATGAGGGGGAAATTACTGAAAAACGGTTACTTAAGTTAACTTATTGCACTGCAAAACTAGGTTAGCAGTATAATTGAGATTCAAAAATCAAGAACTGGCTTTTTGTGGAAAAAACAAATGAAACAAAAACTTGATAAGTCTAAGAGAAGAAGAAACACAATAAAATAAGACATTAGAAATGAGAAAGGTATTACTTCATTTTAAAACAGGAAAACATGTACATTTCTATGCCAGCAAATTTGGAAACAGGTAAACTAGAAAATGGAAATGATCAAAATATACCAAAAAAGTTTGAAAGACTAAAAACTGCAGAGGACTCTTCAAAAAGGAAAAACAGGTATCAAAGATATACAACTACCTGTAGAATTAGTTTTGCAGGTGAATTTCTTTACATCTTCAAGAAACAGGCATATCCCTATCATTCAAGTATTTCCAAAATTTGAAAAATGAGAATACTTCCAAATCTATTTTAGGAAGCTAATATAGCTCAATTCCAAAATTTGATAATGCTGTATTGAAAGTGTTATTCTTACTGACAGAAAAACAGCTAAATTATGAGCTAAGACTTTGAGGAAAAATGGAATAATTGGCCAAGGAAAAACCTTCTTGTTCTTCCCCTCAGGCTTCCCTCTTGCTCTAGTCTTTACTGAGCAGGCCTTAAAAACACAAAACAAAGAACTATTCAGTCGATATCATTGATTCAAACACGTGGCAGAATAATTTATGGCAATATTAATGTCTTTCTTGTTCATGCAACAGTGGGAGAATTTGAAAAACGAAAACGCTATTTCCATGTCCATTTTTGTGTGTATTCCAAGGTCTCTTTTTACTGCTTTGGGAGATATAACCCCTTCTTGTTTTTGAGGAGTCACCTTGAAGTCAAGTCCCAATCAGGCCTTTTTATGAAAGGTCCATCAAAAAATTAATGCTCCTCACCCCCCGGCAATGGGAAAATTGCAATCAATGCTACTTGAATTTCATGGACAAAGAGCAGGGAGAGGTTGTTTTTCAAAGCAAAACAGATATACTGGCTGACCAGAGGAAAGGTGAGTGGGTTGCTGGTGGGACAGAGGAATGGGTTCCCTCCTAGAGGTGATTTGATATACTAGTTCCCACCTGAATGGCACATCTTCCAAGAGGAAGATTTCAACATCTTCCTCTCTGACCCATGCAGTATCTCTTGCCTTTGAAAACCAGTCTTGAATTCAGTATTATTTTAGCCATTGTTTTTTTGCCCTGAAGTAGGAGAGAGGATAATGTCTAGACAAGAAGTTGGGAGAGGCTCTACTAGGGTTGAGGTTTGGGGGTCATGTGCAGAACTGCCTTTACTGGAGGCTGCTTGAGTGGAGAGAATGGCTGTGCAGTGTAACCAGAGAGATGAGCTACCAGGCTTGGCAACGATTTCTATATCTTGCCTTGACATGCAGTCCCAATTCCTCAAGGAGACCCCAAAGCCAAAGACAGAGAGCACAGCAACAGTGACCATTGTGAGACTTCAGATCAGATGTTCAGGATCAAAACCTTAGAAGTTTCTGTCTCCAAAGGATGCCTCTTTCCCAAACTTAAGTCAGTCTAAATTTTATACATATACAGTAACTTAGAACCTTAGATTCAGGCTAAGAAAATAATGTCTCTTGGGGCCTCCCCGGTGGCGCAGCGGTTGAGCACTGGGTTGCGAAGCTGCCCGCAGCCTCTGCAACGCCGGTTCAATCCCCGGCTGCTCCCCGGCCACCGGAGGAGGGTCCCACATGGCGCACAGACCTCTCCTGCCGCCCGCTGCTCCCCTCAGCAGTGTACTTCGGTCCTTCTGCCTGCTCTGCTCCCTGCTCTGGCTCTGGTGAATTCTCTCACCCTCCCACGCTTCTGACTGTACCCAGTGCTTGTATAAATAAATAAATAAATCTTAAAAAAATAAAAAAGAAAAGAATGTCTCTTGCCTTTGAGCATGTGGGGGAAAGTCCTGGCTACTATTTTTTTTTAAAAGATTTATTTATTTATGCATACAAGAACTGGGGTATGGGCCAGAGGTGTGGGGGTGAGAGGATTCAGCAAAGACAGAGTGGGGAACAGAACAGGCAGATCTACTGAAATACACTGCTGAGGGGAGCAGTGGGCGAGACAGGAGAGGTCTGCTGTGCCATGTGGGTTAGCTCCCTGGCCAGGGATTAAACTCACGTTGCAGTGGCTGCTGATAGCTTCATAGTGCTGAGACTAAACCCCTGCACCACCAGGGAGGCCCCTGGCTACTATTGAGAGTAAAGGACTGAACTACTGAAGGGATGACATGCTGACCCCAGTCAGATCCATCCTGGAAGAGTTAGAAAGCCAGAGGCCCTCCCTGAACCCATATTGATTCAATAACCAAACTTTGATCACGAGTTGAAAACACTACTTCAAGTGAAGTTGGGCCACGCCTGAAAGCATCATTGAACAGGAGATCTTATTAGAGAATCTTTCATATCTCTTTTTTTGAACAGGTGCTACCATACCAATAATCTACAATTTGCTTTAAGTCTTTCAGTACTTGGTATTTCCTTCTGTTTTAAAAATGCTTCATTTTAAGACAAGAATCCAATGTTCGTGTGCGGCAGATGAATCCAATGTTAACCACTCTGCTCTATCTGGAGGAGGAAGACAAATTCAGAGTAGGCATAATAGTCTGGAAATAATTTGCAAAAGTATAATGCCCACAGTTTTTTTTTTCTTCTGGAAAGTGGCCAGTTTCTGTGCCCTGGTTCGCCTCAGATGCACCAAATGAATACAGAGAATCAGCAAATTAGGGACTCTGCAGGTTCCCAGATGCTATTCTTGGTGGAAGAGTGATTCTGTAGCTACTCTACCATCTGGCCCATCGCACTCCTGTCAAATTATGTTTTGCAGCGTCATCTGATGAAGTTATGCAGCATAACACAGCAAGCTGTGATCAAGTACAATGTGGGAAATGAATGAGTATCCCAGGTGATCACCTCTAGCTCTGCTTCCCCCAGGCTTCGGCTGTTTCTCTTTTTACCCCTGCTGGTAAGAGAAAACTCAAGAAAGGGAGAAATTGCTGCTGAATATATCAAGCCCAAAGCAACAAACACTGTAATCTTAGATGCTTAAAGAAAACAAAACAAGTGACATATGATCTTGTTCAGGGAAGCAATCTGATAGGGAAACTTCTCCTGCTTCAAACAATTCTTATTTTTGCTTAGCCAAATCAATAGGTGATATTTTCTATGGACACTAAGATGAATGTAATAGAATCTTTCAGCAATTCGTTATCTAGTTTAATAATAAAGTATGGTCTCAGGTGAGAAGCATCCACATCGCTTAGGAACTTATTAGAAATGCATCTTCTCAGACCCCACCCTAGACAACTGAGTTACAGACCCGGGGGGTAAGGCCCAGCAATCAAACAATGTCCAGGGATTCAGATTCTGATGTACACATAATTGAAGAAATGCTGCTTTGGGGAGAGAAAAGTGAGCTTTGAGTGAATTATCTACTGCTTTTTGTTAAGTTTATTGAAATAAGGGCCCAGATCTGGGAAACCAAAAGATAATTTGAATCTTTCATAATGCTGTTATAGATAAATAACTTGAGATGTTACAGGATTTTATATAAAACAAGCAAAGTTAATAATCTAAATTTTAGTTAAGGGAGTAAGGCTACAAGGAGATCCAGCAATTAAAATATCACAGGCCAGTCTGGGAACCATGTTGGTGCTGAGGGAAAAGGGAATTAGTATCCCCATAACCATTTATCAAATATTCATATAGTGACAGCTGTGAGACTTTCGCCAGGTTTGGGCCTACAGAGTACAGTGAATTTAACCCTGACATTAAAATAGCTATAATGATATTATTTTAATAGTAAACTATGAAAATCTTTAAGAATACGCTAAGCCACTTTTTTGGGCAATTTCAAATGCAGTCATATTGAGATCAAGTCTTTCTAAAATTATTTTCAGTGTTTTGGAGTCAACGGACCAAATATTCTTTAATAAATTATGAGTTTTTCTTGAGAAAAGACTTTTCAGTCATGCAATAATTTCTTTTATAGTCAGGAATTTGCCAAATGTCTACTCTAGTGCAATTCAGAAGTCTGAAAATAGAACATCTGTGCCTAATTTTTTTGTTTACAAATTCTGTTCAGAAACTTGACAATAATACTCACCTTGTTTATCTGGGTCCATTTTGCAAACTCCTTGGATGGCAAGTGAGTACCTGTAACTGGAAATAAACTGTATTTTCAGCATAAGATTTGGCAGTGTGGGGAAACAAAATAATAAGTAAACACTCATTCCACCTGAGGAACAAGGAATGTGAGGTGTTCAGGAAGACGTGAAGTCTCATGGGAGGATAAAAAGGAAGAATAGAGTCTTCTAATACTGTCCCACCCTTCTAGGAATTTAAGGTTGCATCATGGAAACTGAAAACAATTAACTAATACCATTAATACTTTGCATCTTTACAACATTATAAGTTTAAGAATGAACTGGATTCTCACCTCAAGAAAATGTAAATTTACTGAAATTTTAAAGGATAAAATTTGAAGTTTTCAATGCTTCTATTCCTATCATTATGCTAAACAATTTTATATATTAAACTTCTGATAAATACTATCATTTTGAACACCTTATCTCTCTCATTCTCTCTCACACATTAATTTCAGTTAATATTTAATTTTAAAACCATAATCAGCTACCTGTTTTATGTTGCAATTATTGTCCAAACCCTCTTTACCTATATGTACATATATTTCCATATATATATTCTTTCTAGTTATACACACACACATACATACTCAATAAAAAGAATGGGTTATACTATAAGACAACCTGACACATTTTTCTCAGAAAGACATTTCTTAACATGAACAATTGAAAATTGTTTTGAAAAAGTTATAAAATAATTAAATTTAAATTAAAGAAGGTACATATGATAACATTTCACAAAGAAACTAAAGTGAGCACTGATTACACAAGTTCTTCAAAAATGTAGTAATAATGATGATAATCCCAGACTCACCAAAAACTAGGAAGTTTCCAAAAATATTCAAAGTAAGATTTGTTTTGTACAAGGAAAATGAGGTCAGAAATCTTCTCGGTGTACAAATGCTCCCTCGAGCTCTTCCTGAAGCCCCCTTAGAAGGGGCTTCAGGAACACCTTAGAAGGGTGAAGGGCTCCCCCACCCTCCACGCCAGGCCAGCAGTGCAGCTGGAGAGACAATCCACCCCAGGTCCTTACTTTTCTTAGTTTCCTTGGAGAGGCAGTTTAGTCAAATACTCTGTTTCTTAGCAGCTTTGGAAGAGGGAAACATTGAGTAAGAAAGCTCCAGATGTGTACTTCTGTGGTGATGTGAGGTCTTGTTCTGACTGCTGGGCAAAAACATGCGAAACAGTGATATTTGAGCCTCCACTGGTTTTAAGGGCCTTCAGAAGTGCATTCATTAATAATAAAGATCTTGAATAATTGAAGGCCTCTCCTACATCTCTATTTCAAAGGGCTAGTTTCATATTAATTTCTTGTTCAAAAAGGCAAACGAACCTTTTCCTGGGTGATATGGACTGTAGGGTTGCCATAGGGATTAGGAAACAGTAAGAGGGGCTCCATGTTCCAGGTAACAGCCACCTTGCTGACCATCCCAGGTAAGAGTGACCTAGGAATGGAATAAATTCATTCGATTAATTTTTTAAACATTCATATATGTTTAAAAACTACATGTTTTTAAAAGGGCATCAAATATAATGCAAGTTTTCAAAAGTATAATAATAACATGCTAGGTGCACATTCCTTAAGTTTTAAGTATGCTATGAAAACATCTTTATTTTTTAAGAAATTCAGATTAAAAACAAATGTGTTCTAGGTGATATGGTGGTGGGATATTTATAGGGACAACACCTGAGGGGAGAAATCAAATACTGTACAAAAATGAAGAACAATGTAGAAAATGACAAAATTAATTTTTAAAAAAGCGCAAAACATTAAAAAAAAAACCAAAAACAGAGCTTCCATATAGCACAAGGAGGATTTTCAGCAAATTTCTCAAAAATAAGCTATTTTTTATGACAAAGAAACCCCAAACCTGTTCTAGTCCTAATAGGATTTTTTTTTTTGAAAAAGAAAAATGACACATAAGACAAATGCATTAGAACTTGACCACTAATGTCTTCGGGGCTGCTGAGGAGATAGGGAGTCAATTTTAAACTGTCTTTCAAAAGGATTAGGAGCCCACGCACAGACCTTGTATTCCTCGAGCTGTACCTGAGAGCCAGGATGTCTGGGAACCCAAGGTCCAACTAAAGCACTAAAGACAATTATGATAATTGGTCACTAAATTCAGTCCAGAATGTCCCACAATAAAAATCAGTTCTGAAAGAAGTATGATATCCAAGGTTAGCCAATTTATTCCTTTGTTTTTGAAAATATTATTATCACACTGTTGGGCCATTTAAAAGCTGAAAGTTGACATTAGAAAAAATGAAAATTGATTACTAAGGGGGCAAGAATGGGATCAAGTGGAGAGGGAAACAATCTGTCATTCATTTTTCTCATATAAATTATATTGATTTTCTGGGAACTGATAAAACCATGCAGGAAGAGAATAAGTCTGTCTTACATGAAATCTGCATCTGAGTGCAGCAGGATCAAAGTTGCAATCATATTTAGAGGTTTTATAGCCCATTATATCTCCATCAAGACATGTCATAGTATTTGAGTATTGGCCATAGAGAGAGGTCTGAATACATAGAGAGAGGTCCTGGATGCAGCCATGTTGCGATCTGAGCACGACTCTGGCACTAATTAATTACGTGCACCAAGAATCTGTTTCCTCCCCTTCTGCCCCCAGCAAAGTCCAAAGTTCCAGTCAAAATGACATAATTAAATAGACAAATGTTTAAGTACATAAGAGTGAGCTAGGGCACACTGGAAAGTAATTTAAGTAAATGGGCAATTGATAGACCTGTGCTCTCAGCCTGGCTGGTTTTGGAAAGATTAAGATAAAAGATCTGAGAACTGTTTTGGTTTCACTTACTTGTGTTAACTGGAAGTTTTTAGTTACTGTTGCACCTCTTGATTGAAGCTCAGACAGACTTAGTCACGTAAGAAGTTCTTTTCTCTCACAGAATGTTTTGGGATACAAATCAAAACCAGTTATCACAATTTTACAATTTCATAGATAGCCGATGAGTTCTATTGTGAGTACAGCAGTCGTTTCCATAGCTGTGATGGATAATTGACAGTCTTTACCTTCTGAAGCAGAGCAGCCCACCCCTGGAAACTGGTAGGAAGAGGGTTCAGTCTTTCTACACAATCACAACTTTCAGGCATGGAGCTCCTAAAACCCTTGGACTTTTTTATTAGAAAGATAAAGATGTCTTTTGTTATGTTAATGCTGCGCCCTTTGGAAGCACCTAGACCGGAGACTGGTTGCCAGGGGAACCAATCTTGTGATAAGAAGTTTGGGACTTTCAGTCCTACATCCTGACCTCAGGCGAGAGGGGAGGAGTGGAGGTTGAATCTGTCACCAAGGGCTTGTGCAATGAAGCTTCCTTAAAACTCCCAAAGAACAAGGCTCAAAGGATTTACAGGTTGGTAAATATGGGGAGTGTGGGAGAGGGTGGTGCCAGAAAGGCCAAGAAAGCTCCTTCCCTACCCCATACCTTGCCTTATACATCTTTTCCTTCTGGTCATGTCTGAGTTATATCCTTTTGAAATACACTGGTCATCTAGTAAGGAAAAGGTGTCTTTGTGTGATCAACTCTAGCAAATAACTGAATGCAGGAGTGGGGAGTTGGAATTTTTGATCTATAGGGGGTCACCCAGAAGTACTTGATGTACAGTGGACTCAGAAGTGGGGTGAGTCGGGCACTCTAGTGGCTGAATCTTTAACCTATGGGATCTGGCATGATTGCTAGGTAAGTAGTGTCAGATTTGAGTTGCAGAACACTCAACTGGTGTTGGATAATTGCTTTGTTGTAAGGGAAAAATCCATACATTGGAATTAGGTGACAAATTATACCCTGTATCCTCAGAGCTTACTTCTCACACTGCATGACCCATGAAAATACTCAAGAAATGTGTTGAATGAATAAATTAGGAGGGACTGATTAGCATTGTGTAGAGACCTAACAGAGGAATCTCCATATGTAGGGGAGGTTCCAGGTCCCTGCCCACATAATGAGGGGTGGAGCTGAGTGGCCAGGTGACGATAAAGAAGGCTTGGAGGAGTTACATGAGGGGAGATCAAGGAGCAGGAGACTTGTGAAGGAGGGCACTCTTGCTGCTCAACTTTGTCCTTGCACCAGAGAATGTGGAAGACACACATGGAGTTGGGACACGTAGAGACACTTGGGAGATACAGGGTAAGAGACACGTGGGGAGGCTGACAATGGCAGCTATTATCTTGATTTGTACTTTGATTTTGCTCCTTTTGTTGCAGACTTGCCTGGCCCCTTCTGTGCCTTATCTATGGGTCCCCACTAGAAGGTGCCTTAGACTTGTGGCAAGCTTTTGCCCCTCAGTGGTCCTGCTTTGGGCCAGCCCTGTTTTGCTGGGCATTTAACCATGAGAGGATGGGTAACTGAGTATTTCATTGGGAAACTATTTCTGTTGTCTTCTTCCCTCTCTGTGCAAATCATTCTTTATGCGGTGGATGGCAGAATCCCTTTAGAACATGCAAGTTTGGGGCTTCCGGGATACTCCTCAGTCTGTCCACTAAGACTGAGAATGCCCTATCCATGATCTCAACCAGCCTACATTGTATATTGTACTTTAATGGAGAAAGGTAAGTTAGAGTCAGTGGTTATCAGATATCCAAAAGCTAAATACCTCTCATTGTTTTGACTCCAAGTCTTCTGTTTATAACGCGTGTCTCCATGTAGCTTGCATAGGAAGTGAATACATTTTTATGGCTGTGGACATCTGGTCCCCTTGGTAGTTCTCTTTTAAATCTAAGATAACTGAGCATCCTTGTTCTATCTTTAGTCTTGTTAGCCTGGTTGTGTGAGAATCATAAATGGCTCCTGCAAATTACACGTCTAATCCTGCAAAGATGATCAATAGGCTTTGGTGGCAATTCTACTACGGTAATAGTAAAAGACTGAGCAAGCTTTGACTACTTTGGAGACTTACTGTTTTTTCCTTTTCTCTTATACTTAAAAAATAATGAGTTTTGTCAGAATTTACAAGAGAGTGATCAAAAACACTTTTTGGTGATTACAATTGTGGGTTGGGCACTATTCTGGGGTATAGAAAAATCAGAGAACTGGTAAAGATCCTTGCCATTCTAGTGTGGGAGATGGACAACTTAATCAGTACAATATAAGAACAAACAATAATAATGTTAGATTATTTTAAGTAGTATGGGATGAAATAAATAAGAATAGGACAAGGAAGTACGAGGTTGCTAAGAGAGCAGATCCCATTATTAAATAGCATCGTATATATAGATTCCATTAAGAAAATGAAGTTTGAGCAGACTTGAAGTGTAAGTGTTGGCTAAGTTAACAGTAACAGTTAAGGTGTCCCAGGTAGAAATGCTGAGGTGGGAGTGGGCTTGGTAAGTAACATACAGCCAGGATATCAATGTGGCCAGAGTAGAGTGGGATTAGCTTTTCAGGGAATAGCAGGAAAGGAGATCAGAGAGATGAAAAGGTGGAGGTAGGAACAGACTATATCGGGCATTTTAGACCATTAAAGGACTTTGACTTTTATTCTGAAGTAAATCAAGAATAAATGGTGTAGGGCCTCCCTGGTGGTGCAAGGGTTAAGACACAACTATGAAGCTAGCCACAGCCCACATGGCACAGCAGAACTCTCCTGTCTTGCCCGCTGCTCCCCTCAGCAGTGTACTTTGGTCAATCTGCCTGGTCTGTTCCCCACTCTGTCTCTAGTGAATCCTTCCACCCCCCACGCCTCTGGCCTGTACCCCAGTTCTTGTATAAATAACTAAATCTTTAAAAAAAGAATAAATGGTGTAGACGGACTTCTGCAAATCCAGAAGACTATCTTGAAGGTAGTCAACAAGATTTCCAAAGAGATTGGGCACAGAAAGTGAGAGAAAAAGAAGTCAAAGTTGATTCCAACAGTTTTGGTTTGAGTAAACGGAAAGATGAAGTTCCCCCTTTACTGATTCTGCAGGAGGAGCAGGTTTGGGTGGGAGATGTAATTTGGAGACAAATTTGAGGCTTAATTTATATATTAGCTATTTAACTAGAGCTCCCCAGTATGATGAAGGTGCCTGAGGCTTGGCAGATAACGACTGCCTGGAGATAAAAAGTCACCTCTAAGCAGGTGGTCTGTAAGGCCTTGTGACCTGATGGGCCCACTGATAGGTCAGTAAGATGGAGATGCTCACCAAAGGCAGATCCTCGGGGCACTCTATCATGAGCAGGAAAGAGGAGGAACTGTTATAGGACAGGGAAAGGGGCAGCCCAAACCCCGCAAACCTGCCTATTCTAAATGGGTTCTGCCATCCGCCGCATCAACACAAAACATAGGAGACTTTAATGGGAAGGAACTTTAATAAAACTAGGAAACAATACAGGTAAGGCAAAGAGTCTAGTTTCTAAATGAAGCACCCAAAGTTACCCGTCCCCTCGTGGGTAAAACTCCATCCATATGGGATCGGCCCAGAACAAGGCCCCAAAGCCTGCCACAAGTCTAAAGCATCTTCCAGTGGGGACCCACAGAAAAGGGTCAGAAACAACCAGACAAGCCCGGAAGGAAAAGAGCAAAATCAACATCAAGATAAAAGCTGCCATTGTCACCTCCCCACGGGTCTCACCCACATCTGTGTCACCCAGTCCACGACCAAAAGACAAGCGCAGCTTCTTCACGTGTCTCTAGGCTCCATGCGCCTCCTCCAGGTCTCCTGGCTCCATCCTGCTTCCTTCCTTAGTCTCTTCTGCCGCTTCTCCTCTTCCTGCTCAGCTCCACCCTCCCTTGGGTGGGGCAGGGAATCTCCCCCTTTCCTGGGGACCACCCTGTTGCAGAACCAAAAGACTATACTGAAGAGAGTGGGGCACTTCGTGGGGATGAAATGGGAAGAGAACATGAGAATACATTGCCCAGGGAGCAAGTGGAGAAATCGTGTGTGTGAGGGGAATGACCGGCCACGTCGGAGAGCGCTGCCAGGTTGGGGGCACCAGAGAAGCGGAGCTGTCACTGCAGGTTTCAAGTATTGAGGTAACTGGGGCTCAGGGCAGGGGTAGGAGGATGGATGAAAACTTGATTTGAGAGCATTATTTAACTGTGACTTTTCTTGGATAAAACTTGTAAGGGGCAGGAATGAACAAGAGCAGGTTTTCTGATCCAGCAGACTGGGTATAGGAGGAGAGAGTCCTGGAGTCCTTAGTGGGTTTTGCAGGCTTTTATTGGGATTTACCAGGTACATGGCAGGTAGGGGTGCTGGGGGGCCGGGAAGCTGGCAGGCATCCCAGCCCCCAGCAAGTCTTCACTCTGTCTGGGCTCTTTGCCGTTCTCTGGTGCTTCTCTTTGCTTCTCTTGTGGTTCTGATCCATTCTGCTTCTCTGCTTCTGCTGGCATCTCCGTGATGCCGCCCTTAAAAGCCCAGTCTTGGCCCAGGTGAATCCCATCTACATATGCCCACACCCTACTCCAGGTGCCCGCCATCAGGCATGCATTCGGGACCACAGGGTTCTGTCATCTATCCTAATGGCGGGAGGGCAGAAAAGCCTGATACTTTTTACCTTACCCTACAAAACTGCTTTTCCATAATTGGACGGTGTCCCCTGGAGAAGGGAGAAGACTGCGTGCAAGTGCAAAATCCCTGCATATGGTCCCCGTGCACTGAAAATACATTTTTTTAAGATTTATTTATATATGCATACAGGCTGGGGTATGGGGGGTGAGAGGCCTCACTAGAGACAGAGCAGGGGAACAGAACAGGCAGACTGACCAAAGTACACTGCTGAGGGGAGCAGCGGGCGAGACAGCAGAGATCTGCTTCGCCATGTGGGTTGCTCCCTGGCTGGCCAGGAATCGAACTCGTGCTGCAGAGTCTGCGGATTGCTTCATAGTGCGGTCCTTTAACCCCTTGTGCCACCAGGGAGGCCCTGAAAATA